GGCTCGGAAGACTTTTTCTTCCTCTCGATGCCGACCGTGAGCATGGCCAGCCTCTGGATCTCTGCAAGCTTTTCCGGCATCTTCGTCTTGACGAGGAAGAGCGGAAGTGGCTTCTTTGTGGTCCTTGAGGTCATCTGCTGAACCTCGGCGTCTGCGATGCCTTGGCTCACTAGATCCTCTTTGATGTCATTGACTGACATCTCTCTGGGTAGCCCACGAATGACCCTCTGGTCCATCCTGTCCTCCTTCAGTTGATATGTGAAGAAGGGCCGCTTGATGGATTCCAGCAGTGCGACTAGCTGACGGTAGTCAGCTGGTGTATTTGTGAATACCTTCACACTGGTACCCGCCGTCCTCGCTTTGGAGAATTGAATCCCCTTGCTGTTCATCATCCTACTCAAGGATGACCAATCAGCGGTGCCCTCGATATTGATTGGCGGAACTCCTGTTCCTGCCATGGGGGGCACGATGGTCCTGGCTGCTCTAGGACTCTTCTTGGTGGCACCAGCTGGCATCTTTGGCTGCCTTGGTGACTCATCTTCGGAGGAGGAAACTCGCACCCGCTTCCTCCGTCTGGTGGCGACACTGAAATCGGTGTCGTCCGTCCTCTTCTCGGCTTCTTCTTCTATTCCTTCGTTTCGTTGAGTGCTCTCTTCTTGGGCGTCCATCTCGTCCGACGTAGCCTGGTGGTCCTCTTCTTCCTCTTCTCCTGTCTTTTTCGCGGCCTTCTTCTTGGCCCTGCGGAGCTTCCCGCTCAGGTCCTCGATCTCCTGTCTGGCCTGCAAGAAGGCTTCTTGCAGGTTTCGCATCTGCTCTTCCAGCATGGCGAAAGCATTCTTCTTTTCTTTCAGCTGGTTAACCAGCTTCTCAATTTTTGCCATCGTAGATGGCAAACAACCAATCTATCGCAATGAAAATTGCAATAAGATTGCTCAATATGTCCGGGTGGGTCGCAGTCGTGCAAGTATACACTCGCAACGGCTGCTAGCTCGGAACTGGGGCGTTAGTTGAGGGGAATCAAAAACACTAATGTAAGGCGATGACAGAAAGTGAAAACAACATACCCGCCTGCGCAGGTTGCGAAGAGCCATCCTGTACCATAAAATTTTATAACGAGGGCAGCATCTAAACAACTCATCTTGAGCTTCACTGTCAGGAAAATGTTAATGTCACTTACTTGGTGACGTAACGACAACGAGTTACCCTCCTGTTGCAAGCGATAAGGGCGATATGATCGAATTGTCGGGGCCAACTCCTATTTTTAGAAAAATGATTGGAGTATTTAATTGACTCATCACATGCGCAACTCTACTACCATAGGATCACGTTAGTTATCCTCAGTGATACCAATTCATCATACAGATTGAGATTATTTATTTATGATTTATTATATGCTCGTCCTCAGAACGTAGGAACTGAAGCACACAGCTCCCTAGGACAGATAACCCCTATTCGAATCAATATCCAGACATTACTTAGGCTTTAAGCAAACAGCAGCCTGAGCTCAACATATGACTTTAGCACACAGCGGCCAGCGTTGATACCCAGGTGTATGGACAGATTTAACGATTGTTACGAAAACAATCCAGAGTCCATGTTGCCGTGTTAATACCCAAAAGCTCCGACGTTACCTCTGATCCAGAGATAACCGAGAAACATGGCAAGTTTAAAGTAACAATCTCTACACATATCCCACCATGAGATCCCTTCAGACTCCAGCGATTGCTAAGAGGGGCATGCATGAAGTACAGTAGAACAAGGGAAACGCTCAGGTAACCAAAACACTACACTACAAGCAGTAACACTGTAATTAGGTTCACACCTTGCACTACTTGACTTGAGAAACGACCCTTATACTCATTTTCATGTAAATAACGTCAGTGGAAGGAGTTCGTGTGCTAGAGGGTTTGCTCACTCTAAAAAACATGCTGGGACTGGCAAAATATTATTGCCATCTGTTTACGATTGCTGTCCCAAATTTTTTTGAGGCAAGCCAAACACTGAAAAATGCCGCCTCCACCCGCCCAAGGGAATTGAAAGACCTTTCAAATAAGGTATCACTCGACCCCCCTTTCCATTTAAGATTTTGGGGGTGGTGTCACCCCCGCTTAGAGGGCTGCACGTGATTTTTTGCCAAACTTGTGTCCCCCTCGAAAACAAAATCGACGGGTCTGAGCGTTTTTCAAAAAAAAACTGAGCTGCCAGTAAATGCGTCTGTTTCGTTTTCGATGCGCCACAATGTATATTGATCTGTCAAGTTTGAATTTGCCGCTCTCCGAATTTGCCATCAGGAGCATGGCTTGCCCCAAACTAGATCGAGAACTGTAAGATTATTTACGTACGAGCCCTGTCTCAGTCAAGTTGGTCCCAAAACATGATATTTGTGAATTTACTTGAGGGCTAATTAAAATTTTATTTCAAATATAATATTTTTGGTTTCTTTAAATGCTTATGCAAAAATAACAAAGCCGACGCGGATATTTTTAAGTCGTTTTTATTTCGAAATTGTCTTCTTTGCAAAATGATTTGTGTATAGCAGAATATATGATGGAGACAGCTTAAGTTGAATGGTCTGCTTATTGGCTTCGATAAAATAAAGGTAGGCTTTGTAAAACAAATGATAACATTTTACGTTGCTAAGAAGCTAATTTTTGTCGTTTAAATCAACTTTCAATGCATTGGTATTGTTGTTGACAGTTAAAAATGGCTCGTGGTAAAGCTGTTTCTGACGAAATAAGAAAAGCGATCATTCACTTGCATTTGAAAGGTTAAAATGCTTCCCAAATCGCTAACTGTGTTAACAAGTCGAGGTATACAGTTCCAAATGTTATTAAATTGTATAAAACAACGGGATCTGTGGTTCAAAAATCCAGAACTGGAGGTCGTCCGCGTTATTCCAATACCAACTTAGGAGCCTTAAAATGGATCAAGGAAAATCGGTATACTAATTATAACGAATTGAAAATATTATGGAGCAACCACAAAACAGTTTTAGAGGGCAACTTGTCACAGAGCTGCCCAAAAACTGGGATTTAAGACTTACAAGGTAGGCTTACATTAATTTTTTATAATTCGCTTTTAATTCAGTATTTCTAGGCAAAAGATAAGCCCTTACTGACACAGACTCAGAACAAAAACAGACTAGCGTGGGCCAAATAACACAAATTATGGTCTCCGAACCAATGGAATTCAATATAAATCAAGATTTGGTTTTTTGAAGGAAGATTTGAAGTATGCGTTGGTGATAGTAGAAGTCGTGTCATAACAACTAAAGAAGAAGTATTTCAAAATGACTGTCTTAAAAAAAGTTAGGTTTCTCGATTATGTTATGATTTGGGGATCCATGTCAGCAAGTGGAGTGAGAAACTTGCACTTTGCGGAAGGTATTTTGACTGCTGATAAGTACATTAATGTGTTTCAAAATAGCGTAATACCTCAAATTGAACAAATGCGCTTAAACAATGTTGAATGTATCTTCCGAGAAGATGGTGCCGCTTGCCATACGGCTAGAAAAAGGAGATTGGATGTTAGAAAACAGTTTTAAAATGGACGTCGAGTAGTACAGATCTATCGCCGATTGAAACCTTGTTGCATATCATGAAGAAAAAGCTCGGATCGAATCCCAGAAAACGCGTTCCTGAATTGGGAATCCGTCTCGAAGAAATTTGCAACAGTTTTACACTAGATGAGTGCCAAACATTATTTGAAATTATGTCAAACGTATCGAAGCAGTAATTAGTCGAAAAGGCTATGTAACGCAGTGGTGATTTGCTGCTATTTGGTTTCGCTCATTTTTATTACTCGGCAGTTATTTTTGAATTTGCAAGATATTTTTTCTTTGTTAAAAAAAGTTTAGTATTTCAGGCTAATATTAAATGAAAATATCGTGTGCTATCAGAAATACAGTTTAGTATTTAATACGTTTCCGCTAATATGACAAATTTGGATGTCCAGGAATATTTTCTCAAAACAGCCTGTTTTCCATAGTGGTCGACGTCTTTATATGGGCACGACACTGCCATGGATAAGATGGATAAGAACTTGAACTTAAGCTACCATTTTGAGAGTTGCTGAGAATTTGCATTTAATTCGTATTTTTCTGAGAAAATATGTAAGGGAGTACGTGGATTTCCGTATAGCTCTAGTGTTCCGGACAATTACTAAAAAATCAGATTTTTTTATCTGTAAGTGTCAACGAATTCAGACTAGGTAGATGGAGCCAGCGAAGGATTTATTTGTGTCCTAATGTCCATAGTCTGTAGCTGATAAAAGTGCTCCTGACACAAAAGAATTTTGCGAGTGTTTGCAGTTAATTGTGGTTTCAGACGTTTTCAAGGCTTAGTACTTCTTACATAATTTGCAAGAAACAGCTCAAGCCTAGTGATGTTTCCTCCTGTAAGTATTATTATTATTACATACACACATTATGTTCAAACAGCGCTGTCAGTTTGGTAGGCATTGGTAAACAAGTGAGGCAAAAGTATGCACTAAAACTAAGCAATTTTGGCGACAGAGAATCCAATGTAAACATATAGGCCTGGCTCCTAATCTATTCGAATTCGTTGGTAAGTATAGCCATCGGTGTTTCGAGAGGACATGTCAATGTTTGGTTGTATTTTGGATACTTGTATATATTTCTGATTTTTACTTTTCACATTTATGTGTTATTTCTTGACAGTAGGATGAAAAAAGAGTGTAACACGCTTTGATTCGAACATCTGAAACAAAGTAGCTTCATTATCGATTCAATATTTCCAATCGGAAAAAAATACGTATAAATTCTTAATTATTTTTATAATCAACCAAATAAAGCCTTGTTTTCGGAAATCAGTTTTTAATATTATTTATTAGTACTCGAAAAGGCTATTTAGGATGTCAAAACTGATCGTCTGACATTAGGATACATTTACACACATACTATGGTAACACACAACAATAACAGTAAAATTACGAACAGCTTTCTTCGTCGTGAAAAACTCAATGCAACGATATGCAAAACTAATAACTTGCGGCTGCAGGCATTAATGCATATTATCGTTCAGGCTGCAAATATGAAGTCCTTGGAGCTTTGTTGTTTGGCTGGCGGGGCGGGAGTCGAAAAAGTTTTGGGAAATGGCGTTAGATCGGGGCGCGCGAAGGCCGTACTCCACAGCTTGTTACCTATATATACAGAAGTTGACATGAATACGGTATCAGTTTAGTCCTGCAGTAGATTGAACCAATCACACCATCATGAACTTCCTGGTAAGATATCTGATTGATATTTGTATATAGCACATACAACCCTTACTAGTATATCCTACGAACAATTTCATACCCTTTCAACACACTTTCATGCATTTTAAAAGAGATCTATAAATAAAGTAAGTTGTAAGACATAGTAATTTGTTGATGAGTCATTTTGTTCCTCAATCATGGTGTCAGGGCAACGGAACCGATAAAACAGTTTCTTTATTTGTTTTAACCTTGTTTAAAAAGTTTTGCCTATACGAGTAGATGAACCACAATTTATGACAACTAACAAACGGTACTATAGTTTTGATATATTTAATTGTGAATGGTTTAAATATAATTGTTTTTTTTTATGGAAAAGATGCACCTCATGTTAAACTTATTTGTTGCTATATGACGACACCGGTAGCGCGCAGCTAGTGCATTTGAAGTATGTGGGAGTATGGAGTTGTAACTTTTATCTGATTTTGAGTAATTATATCAAATATAGGAGCCATTATAGTGTTTATTATTTTACATTTTACGTTAAAAAATATGTATACTGGGAGTTAGAAACGCTGTCTGCTTTAAAAAATCAAAATCTTCGGATTTAGTAGTCATTCGTACATCAATAACTTTTTCATATACCACAAAGTATGCTTCAACAATTTTTTTATTATTTCTCGCAGTATACTAACACATTTAATCAAACACGGACCTTCCCGAAACTAATTCAAATGTCAACGCACTGGCATAATAAAATTAACCATATCTATACAGCATATGGTCCTGGCCTGTACTCCATACCCAATCACTCACCCGTCCTTAATTCATATACAACGTAAAAATATTCTGTCTTAAGTAAACCTGAGTTCCAATTCACCTTAGAAGCTCATTATATGTTTCAAACCAGATTTAAAACATATGTCAATACATAAAAATACTTCACAGGTGTCATAAATTCAGATACGCGAGATGCGTGTTTCAAAACACATAGTAAGTTCGGGATCTTTGATCTTAGTGTCTTCTACTATTTGATAACTATTCTACCAATGACCATGGGCACCTGTCGCAATTTTTGCCAAGAGGGTCAGTACAAACAAGCATACAAATGTGATCTTGAAGTCATTTGAAAAGAAAACAACGGTAATATCAGAGGAATTCGTAAGGAAAAGGAGCCAACAAAATCCTTTGACGAGCGGGATGGGGCAAATTTTCCTAAATGAATCAATGTCATGAATTACAAAACAAAAATTACATGTTATTTTAAACGAGACCAACTTATTCCTGACAACCTCTTGAAAGACGCAACTCACTTGCTTTTATAGTCTGATATAATTTTTGAATTACCATTAAAACACAACGTACCCGACTTTGGACAGGCCTTCTTCCGTAGCAGTACTCTTGCTGACACGATGGCAGATACGTATACTCGTACATTATTTTTGATGTTTAATAGCTTGAATTTTATTATCCCGTAGCACCTCCAACAAACAGAAAAACATTCAAATAAATGATAATTAGAAATAAATACTTCTACCTTTCTGGAACCAAGAGAGTGGCCTTTGATTTGAACCTTGATATTATGCACGTTACATAGGGATACGCCCATAATAATGAGTACTGAAAATTCCTACTATCGGCAATAATAGAAGCTAGTGAATTGGTACTTTCTCTGACATTTGAAAATATTTCAATCAATTAGTGTAACGATAATTTTCCATAAACTTATTCACGATCATACAAATGACCTTCTAGACATTACTGAGAGCTAAAATAAAGGATTGTTTGACTATGCAAGACAAGGTATAACCGGTTCAAATCAAATCTTTGTATGCAAACAAGAGCAGCACTTTTAAAACTGGATTATATATTTATTAGGAATGGTCATAAGAATCAATAGGAATTATTATTAATTAGCTGATATGTAATATCCATAAGCTACCTTTCTGCCAAATTTCATGTTCATAGGTCAAATAATTTGAAATATTCAGGCTTCTTCACCCCTTAGGAGCGGAATTTCCAAAATTATAGGTGCCCATTTACATTATATCAAAGAACCAAATAATCAAAATCCATATCTGTATTTCTAACTAAAAGTATAAAATTTTCCACATATTATCCTTCAAGTTTTATTTTTGAAACAAAAACTAGCTTATGTCCGTCCCCAAGGTCTATATTTGTGCTAAAATTAATTAAAATCGGTTCTGCCGTTTTCGCATGACTGTCTCTCATTTATTTATAATAGACTAAATGATACAGAAAACGCAACACCGACTAGGAGTGCTGCAATTTTGAGCATACTTTTACAAGTTTTAGGTCTACTGATAAATAGAAAGTCATTAAAATTTTAACTCGAAATATCGCAAAACAGCTGAGATATTCCACCTCAATGTTAATAATGTCTTGAAGCTCCTCTGTTCGCTACTCATTCGTTAAGTCGTCGCGGCATTGAATGGATCAGGTGATTGATGTCTTCTTGGTGAATCCCAGGCCACCTGAATTTGGTTTCGTAGAGCCTTCAAAGTTTGTGGAGGTTTGTGGAGGGTACGGTTCCACCGTCATGTCCCATACATATTCGACGGGGAAAGGTCTGGAGATCGAGGAGGCTACTGAAGCAGATTTACTCTGGATGCTTTTAAAAAGTCTACACTGGTACATGCGACATGAGGTCGTGAATTGTCTTGCTGGAAAAGTGTATCTTGCAATGTTTCCTAAAGAGATATGGCGCTGGGCAATCCTGCTACCTAGAATGAGCACTAACCGTAACCTGAAGCCGTAAGCAATGGCACCACGTACCACAGCGAGATGAATATGCCGTTCGATGGAATATTGGACGTTCCGTCTTTCACGTCTCCACCTTACTCTTGCACGGCCATCATGTGTGCCCCAACAGAATCCGGACTCATCGCTAAACACGACTGACTTCCATTCCATATTCTATCCAAGTCTCTCCCTACTCCATGCTAATCGTTGCCGAAGATGCTGTGGGGTCAGAGGTAGTACTAGATGGGGACGGCATGAAAACAGTACAAAATACCTCATTCGGCGATAAATTGTCCTTATTGTTATTCTTATAACTCATTGATTTCGGACTTCTTGGAACCACGCTTGATAACATCTCATAACAGTAGTTTCGTTTCGATTCACCCGATTAGCGATTTCTCTAAAAAAAATATCCAGCTTCACGTAACCCCTCTCAAACTCGGAAAGTTGAGTGAGATTAGCGCATCTGCGAACTCTAGGCATGATAATGCAATGAAACAAATGGAACCAACATAGAAAAATCAATGAATATTAAGTAAACGTGTTCATATTGTTCGGATCCTGATGTGACAGTAAAGCATTTACAAAAAAAGGAATAAAAGGAATGCCTTCAACATTTTATCAGCATATACTTCCATGATAGCAAATAGGCTTACAAGTTTTCATCAAAATTCAATAAATAATTATGGGTGTTTTATATGTCACTTAGTATATTAATATAGATTATCTGGTTCAAGGCTTTTGTACTTGTAGCATAAAAGTGGAGTTGCAATAGTTCTAGAGAATCTATTTAATTTTCAGATCCTTTTCGCCGTATTGGCAACTGTCGCCTGCGCATCTGCCTCCCACTTGGGTCTTGGCCTTGGCTGGGGAGCAGGTATTGGACACGGAGGCTGGGGAGCAGGTATTGGACACGGAGGTTGGGGAGCAGGTATTGGAGCTGGAGGATGGGGTGGTCACGGAGGATATGGCGGTCACAACGCTCACTGGTTCCATGGTGACCACGGACCATCTGGAGTGACCAACGGACATGGTGCTGCTGGACCCTCAGGAGTAGTCACTGGTGCCGGTGCTGCTGGACCTGCTGGTGTTGTCAACGGACACGGTGCCGTAGGTCCAACTGGACCCAACCACGGTGATGAACACGGAGACTGGGGACACGGTTGGGGACATGGCGGATATGGTCATCATGGTGGCTGGTAAACTGTCTAGGAAATATTTATTACCATTTTCTGTATAAAGATTTGTATAAAACGTATGTGTTAAATAAAGATGACTGAGTATTAGAAAATCTGTGTTTCAATTACTTATGGTTTTGTAAGGATATCGTATTACCTATGCAATCATTTTCCTGTTTAAAACAAAAAAAAAACAAGTACGTCAAGTAGGTTGACCCTGCACTTCCTACGCAACGCAGTCATCATTCCATAAAGGATTATGTTGCTTGCAAGTTAATTGCTCTCAGCCAGCTTCGAAAATCTATGACAAAAAAATTAAATGGCTCAAGTCAGCCAAACAACTCGATACAATTAGTCCACACTTCATAGTCTCCACCCATTCGATAACGCTAACGCAAGCTTTTCCCTGCTCTAAGACCCAATTTTACTATTGATTCGCGGGATCAAATATCTTTATCCGGAACATATAGATCAAGGAAAAGGCGACTTTGTAGTAATGGATCAAATGAATATAGTCGATTTCGTGAAAAATATTCATCAGACTAGCGAAAAAATATACGAGTTGTGTAAGAAGGGCCTCATCCCCATGTTAAATCAAGAAATTCTTTATAAATCACCTGGGTTAGCTACAAAAACATATTTTTCCACTTGATACGAAGATCAAAACATATTATCCGGATCAACAATGACCAATCAGAAAGTATCATGAACCACCTTGTAGTTGATAGAATCAAAACTAACATAAACACCTGAGAAAATTGGAAAAGGGATATATCGGTTGTTAATTAAATGTAGATTCCAACAAACTCCTATGTGTCCGAAATTTTATAGTTCAGGAGATATTTGCAATTTAGTGAAATTTCGAAGGAAACGGGATAACGAACTTTCAATCGCAATTACAACTAAACCAATAGGTTTAGTGCTGCGATTTTTTTTTGAGATGAGTCAAATAGCTAGTTTTTGCACCGGTTATGTGATTTTTTAATATAGCTAATTAGAAATCAACGCAAAAAATCTTAAATTCATTTTTTTGCATCCATCAACTTTGGAGGGCGGTAAAAAAAAGTTGAGGTTGTATTTCATTATTCATTTTATTTCAATCCATGTAGAATAAGCTCTGAAAATTTCAGATTGCTACGATAAGTGCCTCACCTTAAAAAATCTGTATGTTTGACGCAGGTGGGTATCTATACATGTAAACAAGAAATTCTATTTTACGAGCTACAATCCAAACGACTTGATGAATTTTGAGATATGAGGTCCAGCGCGGAATTTGTATCCAACGTTTGGCATCTGAGTAGAATCATGTCATATTCTTTGCGAGTTTATGCAGAAATGCATTGCTATTATGGTGCTGCCCTAGGAAATGCTCAAGCAGCTGCTCGCATGTATCGGGAGTATGTGGTTAGAAGAGGTGTACCACAACCGGCGGTATATCCAGACTACCGCGTTTTCATAAGCGTCCATAATGCATATATGGAGGGTCGCATACTAGGCACTCATCGTCAGCTAGGAACGCCGAGGATACTCCTAGAAGAAGTAGAAGATATAATAGAAGCAGCCGAGAGAGATCCCTCTATAAGCGCCAGAGCCCGAAGCAGAAACATATCCCATACTTCAGTGCACACAATACTACGCTCGGAGAACATGCATCCTTACCATGTACAAAAAGTACAAGAATTGCTTCCAAGCGACTATGCACAACGGGTTGAATTTTGTAACGTATTACGTTATATGCTTACGGAAATATTTTATTAAAAATAGGTATGATTGAGAATATTTTGCATACATAGAGGATGTGTGTTCCAAAGAGTAGTTCATATATCTGCGAATTACCACATAGACGGTAATTTAATATATGGGGATTAGAGGCCCTTTATAGACAAAACGTATATTTTTTCGTTAGTTTGGGATATTTTAGAAAAAAATCGACTATATTCAACAGATCCATTGCTAGAAATATACCTTCTCATTATTCCATTTTGATCCGGATCAAGAAATTAGAACTCGAACAAATATGCAAAATTGTGAAAGCCAGAACGTCATTATATATTGACTGAGACACGCAAAATAGGTGCCAAGGAAAACTAATATCCCTTAGGTGATCACATTAGAGTTCGATCTCAATGTTAATACCATTAGCTTATGTATATCTTCAAGTCATTTATTAGAATGCCAATCAGAAATAGTCTAATACCGGAGACGTTGAAGTCAGGCAGAACAGCGTATGTATATTATTTTTTCTAACACACACACACACACACACCTCTCTCAGAGGCATATGTTTAGCATAAGGAACTCTAGGACAATACAATTTAAACAAAATAAATGGTCGAATCTCAGCTCACCTGCGCGTAGCATACCTGTTTAGAACCCCAGTACAAATGAGGAGATCGCGTGCAACACAATACACATTTACAAATCTTTCTGCATATACTAACAAAGTTTTCATACAACCCGTTTTGACTGGAAAGGAATATATGAGGTTCTAGATATAATACCTTCCATTTTTCAAAACATACAACCCACCGTATGAATCGTATAATTTTTTATTTCTTATAATGTAGTTTTGTTTTAGATAGTTTTCAAAATCAAATCAGATAGGTGACATCCTCATTCTCCATACACTTACATTTTTCTGGCATTTATCAAGACTCTTGTCAGCATAGCATGCATTACGTCGGCGATTTTTTCCCGAATATTGGTCTTCAAATCCTATAATGTATGCACCTTCAATGTTTACATGCCGGTTCAAATTTACTGTCACTACTACTTCATTTGCCTCAAAGAACCAGAGACTAATAATTTGAGCTGAGGAAATTGTACACCACACTGTGAATTTAAGTCAATGCAAAGGCCTTCCATGCAATTCTCGAGGATTGGTGTCAGCCCAGTAGCGAATGTTTTGTTTGTTGACGGATCCACACAAATGAAATGGACTTCATCACTAAAGGAAAAGAACTATGGGAAAGTCCAAGGGCAGACGCATGTTGGCGCTCAGAACACAGGTGTGGTCGCAACATTGAAGCTCTTATTGCATCAATGTTTTAATTGGGCAGAAGGACTCAAGTTCTTCGTCTTGTCGCACTTGTAGTTTGTACGAGTATGAACGTAGTGACCCACGTAACAATTGAATTCCGGTACGGGACAGGGGCTAAATTAAAGCTATTCTGGGAGGCGCGCTGGAGTGCGATCACAGAACATATCGTCGGTCTCCGCACGTACCGGCGTAACTAACATTCTACAAATTTTACAGGAGAGCTAGAAAACGAAAATCAGCAATAAATGAGATTGAAAGTGACATACTGATTTTTCAGTCTGAACGTTGCTGTTTCTTTTTGTTAGACTAAAGTGATGTAGAACCAGTTTTAACGCAGAGGCGTAAATCTATTTAAGCCGGTACGTGAAAATTCTTTTCGGAATTTTATAACTTAGGCAATTTTCTGAAAATTTTAATTCAAAGCAGCGAACTGATATATAGCTACGTCACTTTGTGACGTAAGAGACTACAAAAAAATCTGTGAAATTACGGCGTAACTCGATTTTAGATTATTTGTCATTTACGCCTGTACGTGCGGAGACCGACGATATGTTCGAAAAGTAAGCCTCAATGGCAAAAGCACTGTTCCAATACATTGTGGCGACTGCACTGTTCGATACAAAACTTCATTTTCCGCCCTTTGAACGCGACTACTAGCGCTCCGCTACAACATTAACCGATTGAATGACGCGCATTTTAAAAAAGGCACTTATGCTGGCGTACTCTGTATTTGTATAAAAGTGGATATATTTGATCTTACACGCGAGCTCCCCAAAAAGGCCTAGTGTGCGTCTTTAAACATGGATAGCTTAATGTGACAGGCATAGGCGTAGCACAAGTTCTTTTTCTAATACTTAATGAAAACTAAAGTTTGAAATTAATTTGCAGCTATAGTATTTCATTGAAACAGTAATTGTATGGAAAATGTTCCGTAGAGGGCACATAAAACAAGTCTCTCCCAGGCACAAAATGATTTTCGTCATTGTAGATATACGTACCAGCTTCCTAAAAACATATCCTTTTTTGTAATCGGTCAGGGGATTTGCAGTCAGCTCCTGATCTATTATTATAACCCTCCTAATACCTGTTATTAGCTAAGGTTGTTGTAAATAAATAAAAGAACGATTAAATTACACCAAAGCAACGGATAGGGGTTACTTGTTATCACCTGTGTATTTCAATATTGTTGCATAATAATATTATTAATGATTTTTTAATAATAATATTTATTGGAGCATTTACATAAAATAAAGATGAATATTAAATAAAACGCTCTAAGGGGTTGAAGATTGGTGTTGCCATTTTTCACGGTCGCCTAAAGGCAATTGAAAGAGAATCAGCGAGTCAAGATTATTTCATATGTCAAGAGCTTGATCTTATCTTTAATTTTATATCGAGTATAGCAATGCTAGAAAATTGAGGTACCAATATAAATAAAATACAATCAGAAATCGCTTGTTAATAATCTGTAGCTTCAAAAGCTCGTAACTGGAGGAGCACCTTCTTAAATTTCTTTTCAAAGTTATGACTGAAAGTAATTTGGAAAAGCTATAAATATTTATTCAACAAACAAGGTGCTGTGTAAGTGAAAGTTTTTTTGAATTCAGGTGTTACATGTCCTGTTATATTATAACAACCATGGTGAACAGAGGATTTCTTCTCTAAAACATTATACAGATAATTTCTAGATTGATACCTTAAAACTTTATACTCGTATAATAGAACACCATAAAAAAGCAGTGAACGCTACTTATATTTTGAAATATGTTCTCTCACATAGTAACCAGTGCCCTTGTCGGCCTATATCATTAAAACAAAATCTTATGCAACAACTCTGTAAAATTGTAAAATTTGAATTTTTTGTTTTATTTTCTCTGTAAGAAATATATAATAAACTGTGACAGCATAATCCAAATGTGTAAGGGTCAATGAGATTACCAATATTAATCTATATATATATCACTTGTCAGTATGTGTTTATCTAAATCTCCAAAATGTTTTATATTCATAATAAGATAATTTGAGTTTATTCATAATATGACATTCTTAATGTTATGTATTAAAAATAAAAACAACTGAATATTACGAAACATCTATTTTATAGAGAATAAGCCAAGTGAATAAAATGAGTGAATGGTTGTAAAAAGTATTTGACAGTCAACATTAGCTAATAAAATTGTAAAGTCTTAATTGTTTACAAATGCCCTATTCCAAGCATCTAATGAAGTGTGTCAACATTACATCTGCGAAATATGGTGAAGTTCACCTAGGATCGCAAGATTTTTGCAAAAATGCGATCAATTGAAGTAAGAATGAGTTGTGAAAACTTCACTATGAAAATACAGACAGCAACTATTTGATAATGGTTTCAAGTGAACGATGTAAATTCAAAAGACTAAATGACAATCGTCCGTTTTTAGAATTACTGTTTGTTATCACATAAAGTACTTATACATAGCATGGTCCGGAAGGAGCAGACGACATAAAAAAGCAGATTTAAGATTAAAAGAAATTCCATGTGTGAAACATTTCAGATATTACATTACATATAATGATATTTACATAATTTTGTAACACTCAGATTGGTTGAATATTTCTGAAAAGATGTCGAAGTATAGTCGTATTTTTTACATATATCTGCAGAAATAATTTTGAAGTTTTTGTAAGCGTTTTATAGACATAATCTAAAAATGATCAATGATTCGCATAGAATTTTCTTAGTTTTGCAAGTAGTATAAAATGAGGTATAATTAGCGACATACTGGGAGAAAATGATTCACATGTGAAATGAAATGCACTACACTTTCTTGTAATCCAAGTCACAATCACTACTGTCCTGTTCAGCTGTTGAGTTAATTGATATCACTTAATAAATGCTTTAAGATTTCAAATGCCATGTTAAGCAAAATAGTGCTAATAAATGAATTACCGCATATCAATAATCGTTGAAGCCTTACAGTTATTACGCATATTATTGCACCCGCGGCAAATATGAAGTCCTTGGAGCTTTGTTGTTTGGCTGGCGGGGCGGGAGTCGAAAAAGTTTTGGGAAATGGCGTTTGAACGTGGCGCGCGAAGGCCGTATTCCACAGGTTGTTACCTATATATACAGAAATTGACATAAATCGTATCAGTTGAGTCTTGCAGTTTGATTAAACCAGTCACATCATGAACTCCCTGGTAAGATATCTTTGTGTGTAACACTCATCAACCTTACACTAATACACCTTCTGATCAATGGAATACCCACCAGTATGTTTTGGACATTGTAGAGAGGATTTGTAAGATTTGGCGAGATTACCTCAATTAGGGTTGTGTACCTTCGAATTTTAATTGATCACTTTTTGAAAAAATGTTGCTATGCTATAAAAATCGCATATTGCATTTAGGCATTGGTAGATGACTGAACTTCACCATACTTTCTCAGATGTAATGTTGGCATACTTCATTGGATCCAGTGAATAAATAGTATTAGATGCTTGTAGTAGGGCATTTGTGAGCAATTAAGGCTGTTTACAGTTTCATTAGTCAGTTTAGTGCTCACTTACAAATACTTTCTGATAAGCTTTCACTCATTTTATTTACTTGGTTCAATCTCTTGTACAAAACCAAGTTTCTTTGGTTGTAACTATTTTCGGCTTTTTTTTGAGCTAGCCAAAGATCCACAAGTAGGATATCTATTTGAACTTACTAATTTATTAAACGTTAGCATTCTACGTATATCACGTTTCCCTTATAATCAATGGATGAAAAAATCCAAAACAACATCGGCTTCTTGTGAATAAGATAGAAACAGATTAATACCAACAATCCATAAAATATTATACTTAGCTCATCAAACATTACCGTTCCGATACTGACTTATTTTGAAGCTAACATCAGTGGTAAGATACCTATCTAAGATTAAATAACATTACATATACGAATTACACTGATTTGTGCAATATCAACAGTTTTCCTGTTACTTTTAAAATACACCTTTATGCTTACATATTTATCTTAATGTTATCCTGATTAGTATTTTGCTTGTCAATATACCTTCCCTGCCTTCATTCAAAGCATAGCGGGTACACAAATATGTTAAATGCTTTCTGTGTCAATTGTCGACAGATAATTAAAATGATTTTAGAATTTCGAGGTTTTTAGAAAATCTAGTATTACGATATTTCATAGAAACTAATAAGAATCATTTATTATATCGTAAGACCACAGAGCTGCCAGATATTACTGATTTTATGAAAGGCAAAACTTCAGGCATTGAATAGCGTTTATATGTACCTAGTATGCCCTTATACATGCTAAAGCTCCAGTTACTATGGATGCGAATTATGACAAAATTCCGTTTAGCCGAGTTCTGACTAATAATTCCAAATAAACAAATACGTGTTTTCCAATTTTCCAATAGCGTGCTTACACTGGAGGTGACCAGCACCCCAGAGTATGTATTGTGTCGTCAGAACAATTTGAGCGATCAAACAGATCTGATTTTTTCGTTCTAATTGCGTCTTTTTTGCATACTTACTTGGTTGTTTCACCATGGACAATGATAAATTGGTAACAATTGTGTTTACTGTGAGATAGCAGAAATAAAAAAAAATCAATTATAACTTTTCCATATCTTTTCTGTCATCTCTACTAGAAAATACTGACTGTCAACATGTCAGACAATGCGCACAGTGTCAGTCGTCAGAATAAAATTTCTTCAGAGTTCGCATCCATAGCAAACGAAGCCATAGTTGGATAAGTTTACTACTTACTAGTACCAGGTGAGAAATGTTAAGTAAAGATAAAACTAATTTAACCTAAATCCTGCTGTTTTTCATATATATGTTCCAAAACATTATTATAAAGTAATATTCATGACTGCCAGGCACTTTCCTCCGACCATAAGTTCTACCAGACGCTAAAAAAGAGGAGACCCAATATGAATTGACCTCAATGTAAATTGTTTGAATGAAAAAAAAAGAAACTTCAGATAAGCAATATAGGGTGTTATAAAGTTTTCATGAAGCGATTTTTTATAGAGGGTTTCAGATACGTCCTATCGAAAATGTTGCATTTTTTAAAAGAAATATTCAATATCGCTGACACTCTGTACATAAAAAGGAAATGATATAAGGCCGTATAATTTTTGTATAACATATTTTTTCTAGACCTTTTGGTAGAAGTTATGGCCGGCGGGACTGTGTTGAATATTACTTTCAGATAATGTTTTACAAAGTATATATAAAAATCGGCCTATATAGACTACACTATATTCAAATATTTGTTCACCTTTCAGATTCTCTTCGCCGTTTTGGCATCTGTTGCCTGCGCATCTGCCTCCCACTTGGGTCTTGGCCTTGGCTGGGGAGCAGGTATTGGACACGGAGGCTGGGGAGCAGGTATTGGACACGGAGGTTGGGGAGCAGGTATTGGAGCTGGAGGATGGGGTGGTCACGGAGGATATGGCGGTCACAACGCTCACTGGTTCCATGGTGACCACGGACCATCTGGAGTGACCAACGGACACGGTGCTGCTGGACCCTCTGGAGTAGTCACCGGACACGGAGCTGCTGGACCCTCTGGTGTTGTCAACGGACATGGTGCCGTAGGACCAACTGGACCCAACCACGGTGATGAACACGGAGACTGGGGTCACGGTTGGGGACATGGCGGATATGGTCATCATGGCTGGTGAAACTGCAGAATCTATTTATTACCGTTTTTGTATAAAAATTTGTAAATAATGTGCGTGTTAAATAAAGGCGAATGAGTATTACGAAATTTGTGTTTCAATTAATTATGGTTTTCTATGGATTCATATATATCCATATGTTGACGGATGCAAAATCGGCAAACTTAGGCATGTTATAAGACCTTTCAGACTATTGTATTATATTTTAGATTAGAACATTGCAGTATCTTTTCAGTTCCCATGCCTACTGGCGAGGAAGTATTGTAATCACGAACAATTTCGAAAATGAGATATTAGATTTTTAGATGTTCTATAACATGCAAATCACTAGGAAATTTAGAATGATAGCTTCGTACAATCTCGGCATGTTACAGAACTTTCAGACTATTGTAGCAACAAGCTGCATAGGAATATGAAAATGAACAACACCCAACACAACGGATGAGACAGAATCATTCTAATTTTACCGTTAAAAAGTAGTGTCGAATGATACATCGCAAACTTCAACTTTAATAGTCTGACTTATTGTCAATTTAAAATTATTCACGAAGTTTAAAGCAATATTATGACAAACATTAGAAACCATAGCAACGCTACTCAGATATTATCCAAAGCAACTTGATTATTATGTTATAAAAATGCTTTATCATGGTGGTGCAAATAATGCATTGGAATACCTCGAAAACTATTAGCTTTAGACACTTCTAATAAGTAAACCTTTTTTTTTTTGTTGTGGCAATACGAGAGAATTAGATTTTCCGGTGAGTTGTTGTATACAAGATAGCACAAGAAAGTTATGATGAGTTATTTATCGAAATAGTAAGTGGCGCCCTCTAGAAGTTTGGCCCTATAAAAATAACGTATTCTTGTTTCTCATACTAGAAAACCTCCTAATACCGAGTTTTATGCCAAAATCTGAAATACTTCTCAAGCAATAAGGAAAAGTAGAAAATTAAATTGTAACTTTGACACCCATGTATCCCGAAAACTATCCACTTTTGGACTAAGGTATGTTTCGGTTAATTCACACATTTTGGTCAGTAGTATCTTCAGTTTCGAGATTTCCCAAACCTTTTGGCAGATACTCTGCATATATGTAGTATGATGCTTTTATAAACTACTTGACTAAAAAATGGAATTAATTGAAAAGTTAATGATGATTTGACTAGATTTTTCACTATTCTACCTGATTTGAGGCTAGCTATCTTCAAACTACATGATTTGATGGCAAACTGTATTTTCGGTCAAGACATTCATTTATTTATTTGGACAACCGATGAGCCGTATTCTGTATTTTGATGCAAATAATTACGTGGAAAATCAAAAATTGTCACTGCCACCTCAATTGGGGCATGCAAACAGCGTTTCCAAGCAAAAAAAAACTAAAACGAAATCGGTGGATAGTGTCGTTTAAATTTGGTAGATTTAAGGACAAAATCGGTACGACGAAAAAATCAGGGCCGGCGTAAGAACAGCGGCGGATGGCTTTTGAGTCATGCAGCGCCATATATGAAAAGTATATATTTGCATAGCGCGGACATACAACACAGATACACAGATTTTCTATAAATAATAAAAATAAACTAAATTCAAACTTCCTCAAAAAAAACAGCCCAACAACTAATTTAACATGGTTTTTTACATGAATAAAATATAGTGTCGATACATCTTTAGCTATCATACATGTGTAACACGCACAACTTAAAAATAATCATTATGATATAGAAGTGTGGTTGAAAATCCGGCCAGTTGTCACTTCCATTATTTTCAATTTTACAACCATTATAAATCCGTTAAGACCCTCATGTGTCTTGTATCGTGATCAGCGAATGAAGAGCTAATTTTAAATTTCTGATTTTTTTGTACCAACTGACGAAGAAATGTATGAGTTATTATTATATGTGTATGTTTAATTGAGCTTACAGTTTTACCGTTCTATTATTTGTTATACGATGAACACATTATTTTGTTCAATATGTATTATTTTCTCTGAAACTTGCGACAAATAATGTCTTTCCATTGTTTATTCATAATCTATTCATATTTATAGTACAAAGATTATCAAGTAATACAAGGGCAACTTGAATTGAATTAAGCCAAAAATATGTCCAATCCAGTTTAATTTCAGGCACATGTTTAAGTGGCCAATTTAACAAAAAATCTTGCCTGCAAATTTATTTGTTTAATAATAAAAATTGTGACACTGTACAAAAACTTATCCGCTACCAACGGGTGGGCCCCATATCAAAATTTGTAGAGGCCGAGCCAAATGGAGGGTAAAATTTGAAGTACAGATTCTTTCAAAAGGAATTGAATAACATAAATTGTCACGTATTGACCATGGGTGCCCGCAGAAAGTTTTCTCAGTCAGAGGGGATGGATCATCGGTAAGAGATAACTTTCTGTAAAACTCCCTCAAACATTTTTGGAGAGCGAGGGGTAGCAGAGTTACTGTGAATGCAAACATTTTAGATAAATGTGTTTTGTTTTGCGATGTCTACGTCACGTAAGTCCATGTGGTGTCAAAGTAGGTAATCGCTCAAATGGCAGTGGTGTTAAAAGTATAAACTAAAATAGGCGTTCCAAAGTTTGTATGCCTTATGAACATTTTTAAAGGGTAATCAAACATCTTTGTGGAGAGGTTACAATTTAAAAAAAATCGTAAATTTGCCTTCATCGTTTCTGATTGCTGCAGGTTAGGGCATATTCAAGTACATTACTGAGCTCAAACTTGTTTCAAGGCATATCTTGCACTCATGTAAAATTTGAAAATAGGCATTGGTTAATTTGTGGGAAGTACCGAGTCCTACTTGCCACTACTTTCCGAAAAAAAAATTATTCAACTATCCAGAGCGGAATACCATTTTTGTGTTTTGAAAAAACTTCTTTCAGCTGTTGCAGTTGTAATCTAGATATCTAAAAATAGGAGGCATGCTACCATTACTTAGCAGTACAATCTAAGGCTTAGCGTTTGAAAATTTTTAATTTAGCATACGGCCGAAAAACTTGCGTGATATTGTGAAAAACAACAATTTTTTTTTTGTACGTGGGGTTGGGGCTCCGTATCATTGATACGGCGGTAGCAATGCCCCCAGCTACAATTTATATTTGACAATAATGGGGTTTCAGAAAATGCAGAGCCAGAAAAAGGGGTCCGCTTTAGTTAAGGGGTCAATCTCCTCCGCTATCCATCTGATTCTTTAGCAGCTCAAAATACAAATTTTTCTCATTAGTGAATACCATGAATGGCTACTGCCCAAGTACCAGATGGTGCTGTAAGGCTGTTGAGAGACAATTTAGTTGATGTCTCTTCTCAAGAGAGGAATGGGTGGAGTATGATTTTTTTTAGTTTTGCGCCTATAATGTGAAAATATTTTGGAAGCACCAAATCATTCCACTTTACGTTCTTTTTTATGCAGGTAAACAAGAATGCGCACTATTTACATAAGCAAAAAGGAGACTGAACTACTTGTGATGACTATGCGCGATAATGACTAAAACGAATGAAAAATTATGTGTAAACACCCAACTAGATTGTCCGCAGAAAAAATCTGAAGGAATGTAATGCTCAATTACAGTGTACTTAGCATTGTATATCTGACCAACACATCTAGAGTCCTTGGGAGCTTTGTTTCATCGGCTCTAGCCGCGACGAACAATTCGAAAAAACTGCTTTTAGGAAATGGTAATTCGTGCGGCCGTTGGTGGTACGTATGAAGGCCGGGCAAGGTACTCCGCCTTTTCATCGCTATATATACCGGGGTGCAGTGAGGCACTGGATCAGTTTAGTCCTGCAGCTTGATTGAACTTATCGCTATGAACTCCTTGGTAAGACATGTACACTCTGTTACGTCATTTGACACACCTACACCTGCATGCTAGCTATTCAACACGCTTGGGGAGGGACATTTTTCACAGATCACTGGAGAGATTAGTATCACGAAATTTTGCTTGGTACCGCATGCGGTTATTAATTATACAGTATTCAACTCTAGGATACACCGTTTGCGATTTCCACTTTATATACATTTTTAAGTCACTTTTAATCAAGAGTCTAAGACAGCAAAATGTTTAGATTATGGGTTGTGCCAGAAAAAATTGTTCTGGTACAATTTTTTATTTGCGAAAAATAGGGTTAAAAATCATTTAATATTCCAAGTTATTTTAGCGCTAGAGGAATGAACTTTAGCCCTGTTTTTTTATCCCTAAGACACTCACAGACTTGATCTTTGAACACCTAAATCGGGCAAAGAATTTTCATGTTATTGCATAAAACCACTAAACCACTAAAGATCTAACACTTAATACCTTAGACTTTTGTTTTCATTGCAGTTTCTTCCAAAAAAATATGTTTTTTTATAAAAATCTATTTTACAGCTGAGGGAGCTACTATCCGACTTAAAAAAAACATCAAACATTATTTCTAAATTTGAATTGCTAAAAATTTACCATGCAATGAAAATAAATGCGTTGATTATTTAACGTATAGTCATTCATCAAATGTGTGGTTTAACAAACATTAAACAAGGGTCCGACAAAACTAACATCATCGATGCAAAAATGAAGGGTATTACTTCACAGTTGATATTTAAAAAATAGTGAACATAAATATAATTGAGAATGAACTGCTTTCTCTACAAATGTAGCATATTTTGTCAAAATATGGATATTCCTCAAGAAATACTAATACATTCATCAAAATCAGTTAATTCATGTTTCTTTTCCAGAAAACGTGAATGAACTGCATTCTGCGAACATAATTAGTAATTAATTATAATAGTGCTAACAAGCTATGTAAATATACAAATATATATCGATTTAGTATTCTTGAAGTCTGCAATGACTTGCAATTCCGATTACGCTTAATGCAAGTCACTGTGATCTGGTGAATTTTGAACCAGCATTTATTGATGACTATTCGAAAAATGTCATTTCTATTTTATCTGCTTTCTCATTTATTGGTCATGAAAATGTTCAAAGACAAGTGATTCGTTTGGTTCATCATGTTCCGTTCTAGTTTCTATAGTCACTTCACAAATTATTATATTTTGATATCATAAAATATACTGTACTGACTGAATGCGCTGTATAGAATATGTACAGAATTAAGTTAGTTATGACACTTCAACCATCTTTAAAAACTACATAACAGTGAATAAAGAACTGACCTATAATTTAGGTTGATACCAGATCTGCAAAAAGTTATATTTTGCATCTTCGTTAATTGAGTATTATGTTAAACTAGTTACAGAAGCGACGTTACGAAATTAATATATAACTATGATCTAAAAAGTAAAATGCTTTCACTTTAAGTAAAAATAAAACGTAATTTAATATTCTAATCAAACTACTACTTTCCGACTAAAAACAGAAATGGTTTTATAGGCATGACGTTATTGAAATTGTTGTTTGTTATTGGACTCAGCTTGCGGCCATCTAATATTACTGCAAAGTGGTTCATATATTTGTGCGAAAAACATAACGTAGAATATAAAAAGTTGTTACAAGTGCATGCAAATTCCCAAATATGAACTACGAACCTCACGATCCCTAAAAATTTAGCTTCTATTTAATAACTTTGGGACTATGTATACCTACTTATCACAATACTGTGATACCTTTCACATGAAAAATTTTGGTATCAAAAAATGAGCCTCAACGTTTGCCTTGAGATGTATGATTTTTAATAAAACGGATTTTGGATTTTTTTACAAATAATTTTCACTATACTACGAGGGATGTCTTTTAAGTTTTGCATATGGAAATAAAACAACACAGTAGGTACTTTTAAATGATTTTATTGTTTTTCGAAGTATTCTCCACGAAGATTAATACACATCAAAACGGCATTTTTGAATGCGTCAACTGCTTCTTCTGGTGACTGGAACCTTTGACCACGCAGTCTGTTTTTAATTTTCGGGAAAGTAAAGAAATCGTTAGGACTTAGATCGGGACTATATGGAGGATAGTCCAATAATTCCAAGTTTTCTTTCGTTAAATACTGCCTTGTTTTTTGGTTTGTGTGCGAGATTGCATTGTCTTCGTGGAGGATGATTTTTCTCTCGGGGTTGATTTTTCGAAGCTCATTAAGAGGACTTGTTGCAATATGACCCGCTTTTGACACAAATGTCGCGACCATCTTTTTCGAAACACTTCGAGAACGGATGACTTTTGTTGGCTTTTCTTCACCTTGGAACACCCAAACAGCCGACTGTCGTTTATTCTTTGGTTCATAACAGTAAATCCACGATTCATCACCACTAACAATGCTGTACACATGTTTTGAGTTTCCGGAATTGAAACGGTCAAGCGTTTTTTGACACCATTTAACCCTAGCTGCTTTCTGCTCTTCAGTCAATAGGTGGGGTATCCAACGAGAAATTTACTTACTCCTAATTCTTCATGTAAAATTTTTTGAATTGAGGTCTTTGAGATCTTCAAGGACGCCTCAATCTCGCTATATGTCACATGTCTATCTTCAATGATGAGTTTGCGCACAGCATCGACGTTTTCCTGGGTGACTGCCTTTTTTAGTGCACCCATCCTGGGATCGTCGCTAAGACTCACGCGTCCACGTTTGAATTATCCATACTAATGGGAAATTATGGACTGATATGGCGCTTCGTTGCCGAAAACAGACAGCAAGGCTGAAAGTTGTAATAAATTATGGCGCGAAAATGTTCTCGGTTGAGTTCCATTTTTTTAATGACTTGGTGACACTTAAAAATTCACTGTAATGAGAACACTGCACGTATTATTGTGAAACTTTGAATTTAAGTTTACTAAAGAGTGAGGTTAAGATTCAGTACTGACGTTCGATCCGCACGGCCTACTATGTTTCTATATGCAAAACTTAAAAGACATCCCTTGTATACTCATCATTATGTCAGAGCTTTTAAAAGTCTCAAAAGGTAGTCAGTTCAGTATCATGCCGGAAGATGCAATGATGTAACAGTAACAGTCAATTTATAAACCATTTTACTAAAAAAGGAGCACATGTTCACCTTTTATCATAAGCTTTTGTGAATTCGATTTTGATGAGCTAAATCATCAGTAGTAATAAATAAAATATTTTTTCGCACTTTTTACACAAACAATTTGTCGCCTTACAATCTTCTTCAGCGATTTCACTTTATTTCACAGACTAACATCAATATTGGTATCATCTCAGGTGTACAAGGTTGGTAATTTTTTCATCATAGCTGGCATTGAAACAAGCTTTCAGTACCTTGTAAAGTCAATTATTGATAAGGCGTTGTTATTGCCATATGATGCCAGATTCCTCCGATTCACACTAACTTCGAGTCGCTTGCGTTGTCAATGCGGTCTCTCGGCTGTCGATGTTAAAATTATAGTTCGAGCTCACAGCAAAACGCAACTTTTCAAGTAAATAAATCATTATTTTTTTTCGAAATGTCTGTATTTTGAATTGCTATAGTAGAAAAGACAAACAATTTACCTTATTTGCATTTCGGAGAGGTATGTTGTATTGACTTTTAAATTGTTCCACCTCAATATTTACTAAATCGTAGAATTATAAAGGCATTAGGAACATTTTGGTCATTCTGGTAGTTTGATTGAATTATCAGTTGGTAGAGGAATAATAACTTCTTGTTTGCTATTGTGGCCTTTCATGGTAACCACACACCATATGGCTAGTTGGTATGAAAAATAAAACTCACAATTGTTGCAGGTCTTCCTCGCCGTATTGGCCACCGCTGCCTGCGCATCCGCCTCTCACCTTGGTCTCGGTCTGGGATGGGGTGCAGGACATCTGGGTGGCTTGGGAGCCGGACACTTGGGAGCCTTCGGCGTTGGACACGGTGGACACTACTTCCACGGTGACCACGGACCATCAGGTGTGACCTCCGGAGCTGGAGCTGCAGGACCTTCTGGAGTAGTCACTGGTGCCGGTGCTGCTGGACCTAGTGGAGTAGTCAATGGACACGGTGCCGTTGGACCAACTGGCCCCAATGGACATGGAGCTGTTGTCATCGGTGTACCTGCTCTTGCTCTTGGACATGGTCTCGGTTACGGTCATGGTCTCGGGTACGGACATGGTCTTGGATACGGCCATGGACTTCATGGATGGTAAACGGAACAAATTTAGGAGATATTTATTGCCATTTTTGTATAAAATTTGTATAAAATGTATAAATAAAAACGACTGAATATTGTGAAATTGTGTATTAATATCACCTTGATTTGAAGCTCATAAGCTAAGAGCATAGATACAATGCGATGACTGAGACGCGATTTCCATCAAGTGCGGTTTAGGCAACGATCCATATTAACTGTGGTCCATACTATCAATATTTACTGATCTTCCGGTCAGTGTCTGCAGATTTCAATGTAACATTATGCATCTGTAATAGTTCATAGGGCAACGAAAATGTCGAATCGCTAAGCCTTCCGCTACGTTATTTTTGACAGTGGCAAAAAAACGAGTTTTCAATGACCTAAAGCGGACCGTAATAATATATATGGTTTATCTGACTTCCAGGTGTCAATTTGTTTGTTTTTTGTTTTGTTTTTCTTTTCATTATCACATTACTAAACACTGTGTTACTAAAATAGCCTGAAAGTCCAGTAACATACTTAGATTGCGCGAAGTCATCATTCTGAAATTTAAGATGCATAAACACAAAACCATCATAGCCTAGTCCTCCGACAAGTGAGTACGAGGCAATCTGTCGTTTTTTATGTACCAGATACGTCATCCTAGTCCATCATCCCAAAAACACCAAAAGCGCGAAAACCCATCCAGAACTGGTGTTGCAACATACCGATTAATTGTTTTGAAATTTTCGACTAAAATGTTGTAAGTGGATTGCTTTAAATCTGAAATGCGAGAAACACTACTTCAACATCTAGAGGAAACCATGTTGTTTTCCCTGTGAGAAAATAATATAAGACACAACAGAATAACAACAAACCACGAGAAAAACCCTGGATAGTCCATTAGTTAGGTTGGAGAATATCAATTAGAGCGTTCTTTCAATGACATTCAAATAAATTAGGTCACAGCCCACGGAAGAACTAGAAAGATAATTGTTTATACATGGTGATTCTCCAAGGTGACTCACCCCTATAACTTTTTTATTATTGGAGATAGAAAGATGAAATTTAGGGGTTGTGTACTATAGATGAATTTACATTTTTTGACATACTCACTTGCTTTGACGAACTTCCGGTTTCCGCGGAAACGACTTCAACTTCCGATATTTAAATGGGATACCCTATACATTTTAACTTATTTTGATCGAGAATGATATTCTGAACTCAACAACGACTCACTTGTTGATATTTGTCAAATAAAGTCATTTTTATTTCAATTCTTTTTTCGATCTAGAATGCCATGGATCCTGTAAATTGTCGCTGTATAATTTGATTCAACATAGGCCAACACTTCTATTTTTTTTCTTCACTGACAATAAAGTTATTTTGTTTGTTTCTGAGATTCAATTCGAGCTGGTCCAGTTGCATTTTTTCTTGCTTCCTCGAACATCAACAACATGTCAATTTTCTCGTTTCTAGTATGGTTTTCCACTGGTAATTAACTACGTAACAAATGAATTTTTAAAACTGGCCGCTTTTTTAATAACCTAGATTAGGTATTTGTTGAAGTATCCCTAGCAACAGCTTTAATTATTTGTCATGGATAACTAGATTAATAGTAGTTTGTGCGTAGGTATACCGAATGCAGCTACATATTATTTGTTGTTAGGTATGATCGTTTCTTATAATTATTCGCAAAAAAAGTAAAAACAAGATTACTCGTAAGAAAATGGTCTCTTAGAAAAAGCCCTTTCTATTTGAAAAAATTAAGTAAAATGAAAAAATTAGTGTTTGTAACTTTTAGAAAATATTCAAAACGACCGAAAGGTCATTCTCCTCAAAATCGTATTTTTTCCTTGTTAGTTGATCAAAAATGAAGTGATTTAGGGAACCCTGACAATCTTGATCGAAAAATAAAAATTGAAATAAAAATGACTTTGTCAAATATTAGCAAGTGGGGCGTTGTTGAGTTCAGAATGTTATTCTGATCGAAATAAATAAAAATATATAGGGTGTTACATTTAAAAATCAAAGGTTGGAGTTGTTTCCGGTTAAGCCAGAAGTACGCCAATGCAAGTGAATATGTCAAAAAATGTAAATTCATCTATAATATTCAACCCTAAAATTTCATTTCTCTATCTTCAATAATAAAAAAGTTATAGGGGTGAGCCACCTTGGAGAATCACCCGGTATATAACAGACAACAGATGACAGATGGCAGATAACAGATACCGGATAACAGATTAAAGGTAGATAGAAGATAAAAGATGGAAGGTCAAAGATGAAGAATAAACGACAGATGTAAGATCAAAGATGCTAAAGGATTAAAGATAGGGATTAAGTATACTAAGTGACATATAAATCCGAACACCCAGCTTAAATGGTTTTATTTTAATAAAATTTTGTATAAGTACTTAATGAAGCATAATAAGTAAATGATAAAAATTTCAAAATGATTGCACTGCTTTAAAGCCCTTTGACCTTTAATAATGTGTGGATGCACCCTGATGTGCTACGCATTCTCCAACGCGCCTAGGCATGCTTCTGATCAGGTTGTCAATGTCCTCCTGTGGTATCTCATTCCAGGCAACCACCAACTCCTCTCGAAGTGCTTCTAGAGTCTGAGGAGGACGTTGCAAATTAAGCAATCTCCTACCCATCATATCCCACACGTGCTCAATTGGGGATAAGTCGGGAGATCTTGGTGGCCATGGTAACTATGTGACATCATTATGTTGAAAGAAGTCTATTGTGACTCTTGCAATATGTGGTCGGGCATTATCTTGTTGGAAAGTTGGATCTGCCAGGGTGTCAAGATAGGGTAAAAGATGGGGTTCTAGAACTTCGTGGATATAACGCTGCGCGTTCATGTTACCTCTGATGAAGATTAAAGGTGACCTGGAACCATAAGCTATAGCACCCCAAACCATAACTCCAACAGTGTGATGAACATGTCTTTCAACAAAAAAACTGTGGATTCCTCCTTTCACCACGTCGCCTTCTAACCCTGGCACGACCATCGTGCATGCCCAAACAAAATCGAGACTCGTCACTAAAGACAATACTGTTCCATTCCTGATCCCAGAGTGACCGTTGTCTGCACCACTCAAGGCGATTACGTCGGTGTTCTCGAGTTAAAGGGAGGACCCAGTATCAAAACAAGCCAAAACTTCTCATTCGTCGGTAAACACTTCGCATGCCAATAGGTCTTCCGTGTTCTGCAAACCATTCATTTGCAATGGACCTGCTAGTGGCGAAACGGTCCCTTAAGGCCAATAATCTTAGGCGGCGATCTTCACGGTCTGTTGTTCTACGGCGGCGTCCAGTGCCCCTTGCTCTTTGCGTACGGCCTTCTCGAAGCCATGCCCGACAACACCTAACCACAGTGTCTACACTTCTTTGCACTCTAACTGCAATTGCCCGAAAAGAAAGTCCAGCTTCCCGAAGTCCCACTATACGGCCCCTATCAAACTCACTAAGTTGACGAAATCGTACAGGTCTCCGTACTCTGATCGTAAAGGATGTAAAGAACCAAAATCCGCCAACGTTGATTCTTTACTGCGGCTGAAATATTCATGTTTAGAGCGTTAGTGAATTAAAAAAAAAACCGGAATGTCCAACTGATAAGGCTGAACATTTTTTCACTTGTTATTTACAGTAAGATAAATACATTCACCAACTTTTATTAAAATAAAACCATTTAAACTGGGTGTTCGGATTTATATGTCTTTTAGTATATATCGCTAGCATTGCATTAGCATACCAACAACTGCGCTACGGGAGGTTTTAAATAAAGACATCAACGTACAATATTTACCATAGCGTTAGCGTGCTAGCAACTGCGCTAGTCAAACTTTTAATAGGTCGAGGTCTGCTTAGGGTGTCGAACACCAACTACGAGAATTCTAAATTAAATTACTTTTTTGCTGGAACTATGTGAAATTTATAGTCAAATTGGTTTCATATACGAATATAGAAGAACTATGTAGCTTTAGTATAAAAAATGTCATTACATAATTCGTATACAGAAGTCCTTAGGTTGCCAATTTTATACATTTTCAGCAATATACTAATTTAGCTTTGAACTTCGTTGGTTGGTACTCGCTGCTCATAGTATCTAGCTTCTAGCTTTATTCTCTGTGGAATTATATAATTAGAAATTGCAATAATTATACCCGTAGGAACCTACTCACTTATTGATCTGCGGAACCCCGCACCACCAAAACGCGGATCGGTTGATCCCACAAAAATTGGCGTTAAATATTTCACGTAAGTGCGTGTTAAAAATTCCACAAAGGGATTTCTCATTTAGATATTATAGATTTTATTTGGATATCATGTATTTGTATCTCAAAACGATATGAATATCAACCAATTTTTTTTAGTCTACAAAGAATTTTACTTTGCTGCAGAATGTTTATACACAGGTTGAAAGTACGTCATTTCCGAGTTACTTCATTTTTTTCCGAATAGTAGGAAACATTTCGAAAAACTGATACATGGTGGTTGAAAATTGATGTACGATTTTGCTACTCCAAGCCGGAAGCTAATCGTTCCATGCTGTCACGCCAGCAAGAAAAAAAAGTTTCATAATCGCATGCGACCGGCATATTGGATCTAGAATGACGTAACTGTCATATTCGATTTAGGGTAACAAGGGGCAGCTAGTTACGTTTATTCCATAAAGCACTTCAATTTGGTACCTGTATAAAAGTAGTGACTATGCAAATTATACACGCTACCTAGGGGCGGTCGCCGTATTGGATTTGGCGTAACGTCACTTTGCTTATTGCGTTTGTCTCATCCAGCCCTTTTATTTGATATCTACTCATATCATATTTTTCTAATCAATCCGTTTTACTTGATACTTATATTATAGGGCTTGTTCCGGAAATGGTGAATCGACATTTTGTAGCATCCGCAGTATTGGATACAAAATGGCGACAGTTAGTTGTATTGTCGCGCAAACCACGTATGTACAATATTTCAGCTCAATTGGAAGATGTTGATTGGTTTAAAATTCAGTTCCAAGATTTGCCCCTCATACTAACCCACATACTTACTAACATACCAATATACGTACAAATAGGTCAAGTTAAATAAAAGCTTGCAATAACAAGTTGAAAGTAGGTATGTAGTGTCAGTCCTGAAGACTGACTCGGCACCCTTGGCATACGTCAGTGTCAGATACCATTGAGTAACACAGCGGTAAATGTATCAAGAGTACGAGATCCCCCTAAGTTTTTAAATCGACCCTTACTTTTAATAATGAACGGTTTTTATTCAATTGAAATTCTCACCTGCGAATTTTGCTTACAAAAATTATATTTTCGGAATGTTTCGCCTTGTATTAGCAAAATGGACCAGTATTTATGCAACATGTTTTGAAAACGCACTGAACAATTTTTTTAACTCCTGAATTCTTTAAACTTGGGATTCATATTCCTACAAAAAGAGAAGAAGTAGAATTAAGATCAACAAGTACCAATTAACAGTCCATTTTATTACTGACATAGATCACTCGTTCATAAGATCTTTCTTATAAAACAATACATTAGATGACTAGGAGGCTAGTGTAAATCATGTTCATGGTGACCGTTGGGTCCAGTTGGTCCCACAGCTCCATGTCCGGTGACGATGCCCGATGGTCCAACAGCAGCTTGTCCGGTCACTATTCCCGAAGGTCCGTAAGCACCTTCTCCGGTTACGATACCAGAGGGGCCAATGGGACTCAGCGCCTGAGGATTCACGATTTGACCACCGGTGAGGCCTCCGATACGACCCATTTGTCCTCCCATCATGCCGCCGCCCATTTGGTTGCCCGCCATTCCTCCCATCTGACCGCCCATCATACCTAGAAATTTAACGATTATAGTGTCGGATCAGTGGATTGAAAATTTCTATCAAAGTATTTTCCTACCAACAAATTACAGTGTGTTTTAATGGTGAAATAGAATTGTTTGCCTTCCGTCTCTTGTAACTATAACCAACTACAGACAGCGCTGTTTTGTCCTCATAGGCAACTCATCAGTGCGGTATGTCTTAGGTGTATCTTGAAGACATACGAAATGGAAAGCAAACAAGTGGGTATGGTCTTTTGAAGATATTTGTGCGCAAGTAAGTAAGACATCTCACGATCGCCACCTATCAATGGTTCGTCAAAGCTGATTAGACAGATAGACCATTATGCTTCCTAGTTTGTTTTATACTTTAATTGAGCAAGTGTTAGAAAATCGTCTTACAGGTAGAATCCTAATTTGTAATTCACTACTAAAAGTAGTTATGCAATACTAAAGATGCTATTTTATTATTTAAAAAAGTATAATCACGATATTAATTTGTAAATATACGAATTCAATCAAATATGGAGGAAAGAGACGCTCCGTGGCTCGGATGTTCATGAGGACTTTCTTATTGATCCTAAAAATGCTGTGCGGTATTCAGCTATAACTTGATGTGAAATGTGTGGCAAGGTTCATGGCAAAGTTTTGGACTTACTTTATATCAATAATGATATTCAAAGAGCATTTTTGAAATAAGAATTTACATTGGGGAAAAATAGGCGTATATATATATATATATATATATATATATGCGTCGAGTGCACAAAGTCAATCTGTTGCATCTGACATATGTCTTGCTTGGTACAGATTTCAGAAGAAAGGGGTTGGCTAACTAGCCTTAATGTCACTGCGACTCAGATGGATCTATTGTGACTCCCATATATATTTTCTTAAGCTGTGTCCCACATGCACTGGGGTTTCCTCATGCTCTCTGCAGAAACGCCATGTGGCCTCTTCTGCCAGATCCAATAGCTTCATATGTCGATTTAGTTGACAGTGTCCTGTGAAGAGACCCACTTACGGCTTTCCTATAAAATCTGATAAGGACCTCTGTAAATGTCTTTCTTTGACAAACTGTTTTGCCCCAATTGGCTGTTCCACCATTCTAGGGATCGTTTCTTGGTCGTCTAATTGCTTAGTGCGTATTCTTGTCATGCCACAGAAAGGATTTGGACCTATAAGGCAATTGGCCGCACACTGTCGGGCTAGCTCATCCGCCTTTCATTTCATTTGTACCCTTCGTGTCCTGGTACCCAGAGCAATGTTACCTACTCTATGAGACTGTCCACGCAATCCCATACTAGTTCAGCCGATATGACCGATATTTGGAATATTTTTGCAATATTAACTAGACTTATAGAGATCTCAGTTTTTGGCCTTGCCTCATAAATTCCAGCTCCAGCTCCGTCTGCAATTTTCAAGCCGTCTATGTACCAGCAGCTCTTGGCATGCATAGGAGGTCCTTTCTCCCACGCATTCCTTTCTGGTGCTATCGTGGGATAGTTTTTATCGAAATTGTACACTGGGACAGTTGTGTCAGTGGGCTTTACCAATATAGGATCTGCCTTCACCTCCGTGTGTAGCCTTTTGCTTGGTCACTAAGAGCTGAAAAGTAAGACAAACATACCTCCCATTTGTCTGCCCATCATTCCTCCCATCTGGTTCATGGACCCCATCTGCCCGCCCATCTGTCTGCCCATCTGTCCGCCCATCTGTCCGCCCATCTGTCCTCCCATTCCGTATCTCATTTGGTTCATTCCTCCCATCTGGTTCATGCCTCCTCCCATCTGTCTCATCTGTCCTCCAATCATGCCCTGTCCTCCCATCTGTCTCATTTGTCCCATTCCTCCCAACTGCCCCCCCATCTGGTTCATACCTCCCAGTTGACCGCCCATCATCCTGTTGCCTCCCATGCCGTACATGCCCTGGTTGGTGTACATTCCTTGTCCTCCTACCATACCTTAACACAGAAGATACTACTTTAATCAACATCTTTATGTATTTGTAATCACAATACTACAGCACTGTGGAAGACAACAAAATGTAATCACTATATTAAAAAAATTTTCATTCAAAGCTGCTAAGCGTAAAACTGATTCTGAGCCCTACTGATGTGTGTCTTCTTCTGTTGTGTTATGTTTACAATCAATTTTCCAAAAATTATATTTTGACGAAATAGCAGTATTTTGCCTTCAAAAAGTATATTGTGAGTGGTTTTCCTTTTTCCGATTCACTGTGAGAAGCGGTAAATCTTGCCCTTCAAATTTCAAAAGTATAATAGAACGAAATATGACGTAATTAGTTTTAGCACTTCCTGTCCTCAGAATATAGCCCTACTTCTGCCATAGAGTTTAGGCTTCGGTCAGATGCCAGGAAAGAACCTTTATTCTCTGCCGTTGGTGGTTCTATAGGTATCAAATAATAACAATAAAATAAAAAGACATATTCGAACTCTGGTGTTGAGAAGCTAATTTTTGTGTGATTCGCGACATACTGAGAAGTTATTTAAATTTTTGTGAGAGTTATGAATCATTTTTAAAACAAAAACGGTATCTGTATCGTATATCGTATAAAATACCGAAACACTGATTTCACGTTTTATCAAAATGTTCGGCAAAGTAACATTACTAGTTATTCAACATTTGAACTTATTCTGTGGTGTTCTTGTGTTTTTTTAAACGGCCGTAATCACATTTGGACTATATTCCTTTTGTCGATGATAGAAACTAAGCCAAAGCATATTGACGCATACCCCACGTGATCGCATTATAGAACGACAAGCACGTTACAGCACCGGCGAGGCTGCATGCACCGCCGTGTTGTCTCTCACTCTTCCTTTCTGGTTTGGCATTGGTCCCACATGTGGACTGCCCAATAGCAGTTATGCCCTCCGGTTCTTGAAATATATCCACTTTCTGATAGGGCATTCGAGATGCGCTAGATATTATTTTGGTTTAACGTCTTTCTTGGATAAACAGACTTTAGTACTAACTGTGTCTATTAAAACCATACCATTCAAAATCATGTATTTCAACAAGAAAATTTCAGAACACCTCTGATGGAAGTGGATCCGCCATCTCTAAGAAGTGAGACTGTTTACTTTTCAAATTATCACATAGATTGAATAATGACAAGATCAGTGTTTCTCAAACTTATCTAAAGCGCGACCTGTCTGTGTTAAAACGATGTTCACGACCCCCTATTTCCTTCTACTACAACTACTAAAGCCGTTCTAATTTACAAATAACTTAATGGTTTTTCAAATTTTATTACACTTTACTGTTTAAATTTAAGCTAAAAATATATTAAACAATTTCGACAGTCAATTTGAAACTGGGGTCCGTCCTATTATTAACTAGTAGCAACTCTGTTACATTAGCATTCACAAAAAAAATAATGTCGATTAGGGACTGTTGCAATGGACTGCGTGCTATGAAAACCATCATTAAAGTTGAAAATCCCATTAAAGGAATGCAGACTCATAATTTTAGCACATGGGTGTTTTGCTTGAAAATCTTTTCTGTACCATCGAAGTATGCTGGTTTTTGACTTTCAAGGGTGTTGAAGAGTGTATTTCACTTAAGAGCGGAGCTTGTAATGCATTACAAAGATGTGAGGTCCCCATATGAAAATCAATTATCTTTAAGTAGTTTATAAGAATGAGGTTTATGGTTGTCTTTACTTGCCAAAAGCCAGCTCATACCTATTTATACAGGAAATTATGGACAATATAGCCAGTTACAGTGGTGCAAATTTTGAACAAGTCCTTGGCAATGTTAGTTATCTTGATCAATTCAGACAACAACTTTGTGATTATTTTCCCAAACAAATTCAGAACAGTTACGACAGTTGCAGATGAATACTGAATCCAAGTTTAGCCAATTCCCCGTTCAACATGTGGAAATACAAAAAAGAAAAAATGAAATAAGAACCTATTGAAATATCAAGTGATAAAATTTTGAAACTTATTTTTTTCCAAAACTTGGATGAATTTTGGACCATTAGAATGCACGAATACAATCAGTTGGAGCTGAGCTGAAGCCGTAAAATGTTTGGTTCTATTTGAAACATCATATTTACGTGACTTAAGTTTTTCGTCTATGACTGTCAGTAAAACAAAAGTCGGGAATCGTACCGTACCTGAAAACGATATACTTGTGTATGTGTCTCAAATACATAACCAAGATTTGAAATACTAGTTTCAAAGAAAAGATATTTGGCTTAACTTTTCTTTTTCTTACAGAATTATTAATATTTAGCTTTACATTTCGCTTGATCATAATTATTTCTTTTTGATGTATCGCGTTATTACAATAAAAATACATAATTTAACAAAGTTTCATTTTTGTCTTAATTGGAAAATTTTCGGCTACCTCTCTAGTAACTTAATGAGACCCCTTTCCGAAAAATTTTTTCTACAAAATTTTATTAGAAGCATACCCTGTCCTCCTATCATTCCTTGACCACCCATCATGCCTTGTCTACCCATCATGCCTTGTCCCCCCATCATGCCTTGTCCTCCCATCATGCCTTGTCCTCCCATCATGCCTTGTCCTCCCATTATGCCCTGTCCGCCTATCATGCCTTGACCGCCCATCATGCCTTGACCTCCCATCATGGGCATGTACTGTGTCAAGGGAGCTGCGGTCGTGGTGGCCACTGTGGCCAAAGCTGCGAACAGGACCTGTAAAACAATACATAGAATCAGATAATTCAAACAGCCTTTTGATGAAAATAATAAAAAGACAAAAGTGGGACGTTGAGAGCTTTGAGATTTTTCACATCAAACATTCCATCTATAACATTGATCTATACAGGATGTCCCAGGACATTGTGTATTCTGTGTTGGAGAAAGAGCATTTAACTAAGATAATTGCGCCTGTACGCTATTTGGTCCCTTGTATTGTCCTCAAAAGGTGTTGATATATGCCCCTTATACTAGGCAATGCAGGCGAACAGGCACATCAGAATAGATAGGGTGCATCACATCTTGCAATATAGCAATGGTACTTTATTTGTCCAGTCACAATGCCTGGACATATAGTGAACAGACAGCTGGACGTATTATCCCATTTGTTTTTTAAAATCGTGTGGGTTTATCTTTTTAACATATTTAGCCCTAGCTAACTGATCAGCTGTAATGTTATTATTGGATTGTAAGTAACCCTTCTCTCAAGCAACAGCTTTATTGTTGCATACGTTTGAAGAACAATCTGTCTTCGTTGTGGACTTGCCGAATTGTCTGACTGCTATTTGAGCACTTTTTTGTTAACAAGTAGTTCTCAGAACTTTGAGGGGATATTGTTCCCCTATTGGAGACCCTGGATGTCATGGTCTCTTCAACATCTTTCTTTCAACTTCTTGGAGGCCTAAAATGTTTGCGACGCTCTGGAGTTATCCACGCATAAACCTTTTTTGGCCATTAATCCATACGTTGGAGGTGGCCGCACCAAAGTATACAGTGCTTTTCAAAAAGACTCTTGTGAACGGGTGGGGTTAGCGAGCTGAAATTTGGGAAACTGATTTATAAATACTGTGTTTAAGCGTAAAAATAATAACTGAAGGACTCCATTTTGGACATTTTTTTAAAGTTAATTCCGAGCCATGGATGATATATTGTGTGTTGAATATATCAAGCACCAGATCGCTGGAGATAGCGTATTTAACAATCAGTTACCAGTAGTTGGCTTGTGGAGTAAGTAGTACAGTGTTGGTACTACAGGGTCGGCAAAAAAGGTCAAATGTGGTCTAGTTGCCAGGCTTCGCCTTTCAATAACTATTACTATATATACTACTTTAAATGGATAGAGGGTCAAGCCACACCTCATTTTGAACTTCTTCACAAGTATCTTATAGCACTAGAATATGAAAACAGTATATTCCATAATGGCGGACTGGCAGGTTGTCAAAGTGTCACAACTTATTATTAAAATGCTATATTATGCTATATCAAGCTTCTGTGTTCTATGTTCTGTGGTATTGACTTAGTACAGTATTAAGACATCCTTGCAAAATGAGTTATCATGTCTCACTCGTCTCCAGAGTTGATGAATAAAGCCACAAACTCTCTAAAGTAAAATTTAAAAGACACAACTCATTTTGCAGGATCAGAAGTTATTGAACAAAAACCACTCACCACATTTTTTGCATATTATGTTAAAAAAAATAAGAATTTTTTGTACGAGGAATATTCATGCTGCCTCACTTAATCATCAGAGCAGACCAGCTCATGTTGTACAAGCACGACACTACACACCAACTACGCTGGTCAAAAATTAAAACTGAGTGACTTACGAAAAGTTACATCTCTGCAATGATTTTCCATTCACCTAATCATATGATAAATTAACTAGATAAAGCGATATTTTGACAACCTTCACGCACTAATTGCACTTTTCCAATTTTTCAATTGTCTCACAATTTGTTAATCAACCCGAGCAATCTAAAAGTAATTATCGCACAGCTCCTTACCAGAGGATTCATTTTTGGTGATGCTGTTGTATCACAGAAGACTAGACTGATACAGCTTCCCTTCACCCCCAAGTTTATATATTAAAGAAAAAGCAAAGTAAATGTAAAACCTTCACCCGATCATTATGAATTAATTGGCTTTTTAACACGAAAAAAAGTTTGCAAAAAATCTGTAATTGATAGGTACCAAAATTTAAATTTAATAAAATTCACCGCTCCGGGTTAGAGATGCCGAGGTCACCAATTAGATTGTAAACGTTTTCGGCGAGCTTTATGGTTATTTTCTTCCAGCTTACCTCTTAGTTCAGTGCAGATCTCGGCACAGTTTAGGCAAAAAGTTTTCTTTTGAATATTGTCGTTTTTGTACAATTCCAATGCGTATGATAGTGTGTGAGTTTCAATTTAACTTTTTTATTGATTGTTAAGTATCGGATATTAGTGTGGAAAAGTGCTAACATAACGCTTGTCAGCTGTTTCTGCAGAAAGAATATTTGCTGGTTAAGATCGTGATACCAACAAAAATAATTAATGCCCGGTTAACTGATTCTTATTAGTCTCACGTAGTACTGCAGCGATCGATTACTCGAAAAGTCAATTATACTCAATTATGAGAACTTGGGGTTATAATACAATATGATATGATGAATTCGGCCAAAGTGTTTTCAAAAAGGTGGCACATCCAGTTGTACCGGAAGTAGAATCAATTTGTCTTTTTTGAAGTCTTCACAAGATTCTAAATACATTCCATGTACAACATCCTATACCTAACCCCAACCGTTTTTGAAAAATATCAAATCTTGTAAAAGAAAAAGCACAAATGAAGGTCCATCAAAGCCTATTGATTTTTCATATATTTTTGTCCGTGGAACTACACTTCACACACTACACCTTAGGAAGAGGCCGTTTTCTTATAGAAAAAATCGGATGCAAATTAAATTGTATAAAATGCCAAACTACATTTTTCTAGCTACATCACAATTTTATAAAATTAGAATGACGAATTTTCAGCACAAATTTCAACATTTTTATTTCACGGGATATAGCACAAAGTGGATTTTGACATTTCAGAGGTCCGGCGCGGAAGTGTCCCTTCCGACCGAAATTGATCAGATAAATTTAAATTGAATTTACCGTTCCAATTAAAAAAAAAACATTGTCTTGTGAAACCAGAGATTATCGAACTACTTATATTTCTAATTTGAAAAATGAAACCAATAACATGCCCAAGGAGCGCTTTCGAGAAGAAAAAGGAAGAGCTAAAGAATACTACTACCAAGTCAACGTAGATGATGAGCCAAAACGAAGGCGCAAACTGAAACCTCCATCTTCTTGCTCCAAAGGGCTTCAATAGAAGAGTGAGTATGAGCAAAGCATCTGCAAACTACAATTAGAATGGCAAATTTTCTATTCTACAGTCTACAGCCCAAATTGTCTGATGGACTTCGATATTTGATGGCACAGCTAAAGTTTCATTCTTTGTAGTCGAGTTTTTGTATTTCTGAAAATTGTACTTGTAAACGGAGCTTGTAATTCTATGCTAAACCATGTCTCAGTTAACTTTAACATATATCAAATGTCCGTAATGTAATTTGGTACGTGCTTGATTCTATCTGAATCCGATGTTCCAGAGAAAACTGTCATTGATCTGTATTTTTGATAATTAAATGATAACGTCACAGCTCATGGTCTGTCATGTTATTTTGTTAGTTCAAGTTGCTGTCACTATTGGTTGTCAAGTAAAATATTTTGTCTTGTCAGAACATCTTAAAATTCAAGATGATGTCATTGAGTATTTTTTTAGGGTTATTTCACGAACATCTCTCTCACTCTCATTAAACTGTCCGTTCAATCTAAATAGCTAAAACTTCAATATTTTTCCAGCTAAACTAAAAATGGATTATAGGTAGGGCTGTCATCCGTTCGGGACTTCATGGATCTAGACTAGTTTACGGTGCATCCAGGAGCCATCTGGAAGAGGTTTTTAAAAAGTGTCTGGCGAATCTGCAATTATTTTGGAATTGAACCCTAGCTTAGCTCGCAACTAAACCACATCTAAGTATGCTACGCCTATATTAAACACTTTCATTACAATTATTTGACAAAGATATCGATAACGGTTAACAAATTTGAATAGGCTAGAACGAGCCAAGCCTACACTGAAAACCAAATACCACTGACGTCGTAATGTGTACGAGAGTGAAGCACGAGAGGCGTGCAGTACGTGTGCTAGAAAGAGATAGAAGCATCTCGTTGCCTAGCAGCCCGAGTACTACGTCACGGATGCCATCGGTGCACTCTTCCTAACACACATACTGCCCGCTTCTCGAGATTCTATCTCGTATACATTACGTCATCAGCCAAATTTGAACCTCACCGTAAATAGTTAAATTGCATTGTTTGTCGCCAAAATTGTGTAGCTTTAGTGTATACTTTTGGCTCATACCAAAGTGACAAGCCAATACATCGGCGCACTTTTTTTTTGGAGTGGTATTCAAGTGGCCACTCGTACTGGGTGTACTCACATTTAGCACGGCAGAAATACTACATGTGTTGCGATGAGAATCGCTCCGTTATTGTTAATAAACAGGAATACATAGAATAAAACAAAAAAGTATAGTAAATATTCAAGAATAGCACATGAACGATTTTACCTAGTTGGTTTAGAAACAACATGTCGAATGAAGTAAATCAAAATTACCTCACAACTGTCCAGGTAAAATCCCAATGATGAGGTGCATGTCCTTCCGCAACGACCTTTATATTAATACTTATCGATCGATTATTCATCTTAGTCAGCTTTGCCATTTTCGATAACCACTTTGAACACCAGGACTGTATAGCACCCACGCACTGTTATCTACATATTTTAGCAAAAAATACGAATGTGACATGTTAACAACTGTCAAACTGGCTAAACTTTTATCCTGACTACAGATTATGAGATTTTGGAGACAAGCAGATCATAGACTTGTTCCTTCTACCTAGTCTGAATTCGTTGATAATGGCAGATAATTTTTTGAATCCTGCTTTAACAACCGAATTTAATAGATATATACTAAGTGACATATAAATTCGAACACCCAGTTTAAATGGTTTTATTTTAATAAAATTTTGTATGAAGCATAATGAGTAAATGATAAAAATTTCAAAATGATTGCACTGCTTTAAAGCCCTTAGACCTTTAATAATGTGTGGATGCACCCTGATGTGCTACGCATTCTCCAACGCGCCTAGGCATGCTTCTGATCAGGTGGTCAATGTCCTCCTGTGGTATCTCATTCCAGGCAACCACCAACTCCTCTCGAAGTGCTTCTAGAGTCTGAGGAGGACGTTGCAAATTGAGCAATCTCCTACCCATCATATCCCACACGTGCTCAATTGGGGATAAGTCGGGAGATCTTGGTGGCCATGGTAACAATGTGACATCATTATGTTGAAAGAAGTCTATTGTGACTCTTGCAACATGTGGTCGGGCATTATCTTGTTGGAAAGTTGGATCTGCCAGGGTGTCAAGATAGGGTAAAAGATGGGGTTCTAGAACTTCGTGGATATAACGCTGCGCGTTCATGTTACCTCTGATGAAGATTAAAGGTGACCTGGAACCATAAGCTATAGCGCCCCAAACCATAACTCCAACAGTGTGATGAACATGTCTTTCAACAAAAAACTGTGGATTCCTCCTTTCACCACGTCGCCTTCTAACCCTGGCACGACCATCGCGGTGCAGACAACGGTCACTGTGGGATCAGGAATGGAACAGTATTGTCTTTAGTGACGAGTCTCGATTTTGTTTAGGCATGCACGATGGTCGTGCCAGGGTTAGAAGGCGACGTGGTGAAAGGAGGAATCCAATGTTTTTTGTTGAAAGACATGTTCATCACACTGTTGGAGTTATGGTTTGGGGTGCTATAGCTTATGGTTCCAGGTCACTTTTAATCTTCATCAGAGGTAACATGAACGCGCAGCGTTATATCCACGAAGTTCTAGAACCCCATCTTTTACCCTATCTTGACACCCTGGCAGATCCAACTTTCCAACAAGATAATGCCCGACCACATGTAGCAAGAGTCACAATAGACTTCTTTCAACATAATGATGTGCACATTGTTACCATGGCCACCAAGATCTCCCGACTTATCCCCAATTGAGCACGTGTGGGATATGATAGGTAGGAGATTGCTCAATTTGCAACGTCCTCCTCAGACTCTAGAAGCACTTCGAGAGGACTTGGTGGTTGCCTGGAATGAGATACCACAGGAGGACATTGACCACCTGATCAGAAGCATGCCTAGGCGCGTTGGAGAATGCGTAGCACATCAGGGTGCATCCACACATTATTAAAGGTCAAAGGGCTTTAAAGCAGTGCAATCATTTTGAAATTTTTATCATTTACTTATTATGCTTCATTAAGTACTTATACAAAATTTTATTAAAATAAAACCATTTAAACTGGGTGTTCGGATTTATATGTCACTTAGTATACATATTTATGCTTTGACATTACACAAACATTTTCCGAGGTGATAGAGCATTACAGCATTACCCTTTTTGATCGTTAATTTATTCACCTGTCAATGACTGTTTGCGATGTTAGAGATATCATGACCTTGCAAAGGGTGTACGAAAATGTCAATAAAAGAATTGTCTCATTATCTGCCGTATGAGAATTTCGGTAATTATATTTTTCATTAAAAAACTAATTAAACTATCTAGACACTACCGAAGGTTTCCCGTTTACTCCATTTACCATTGTTTACTATATATACTGAGGCTGCTGGGGACACTGTATCAGACTGTTCCTGTGATCTGAGCAAGAACCCACTTACCAGTATGAATCCTCTCGTAAGTACAACCAATTGCCGTAATAAGATTTATAATTAATGTTTCATTTGTCTTTTCGAATCAATTTGCTCTCCGCTGTGCCAATATCCTAATAACCGTAAAGAAATTGATTTATTTTGAGAGTGATATGGCTTATAACGTTCTAGATTCTATTTCACACATCAGAGACGGCGGAACGCTGTATTGCGATAGCGAAAATCTCGAAAATGAGAAATGTATGTGTCCAGAGAACTAGACATCACGAGAATCCTTGTCTCCCAATTCTTACAGTATCTAAGCAGTTTTTTTGTACTCGCGTTACCTCAGTAAGTGATGCATCGATGTTTAAATTTAGAGACCAATGTGCGGTGTCAAAAAATTCTCACGCTTCGCATTTATTTATGTTCCAAGACATTTCACGTAGGATAAAAAGATTTTCAAAATCTGCAATAATTTTGCATTTTCAGGAACTCATATATTTTACTTCATGGTGAGTCTATAACCTTTGAGCAAGTAGGCCGAAATCTCAAATTAATTTTTTTGTGTAATGCCGTGCTGAAAATATCACATTACCGTTTTTACTACATGGCAATATTAACAATTATAGTATCACATGAAATTTGAGGAAGCGTTGTGGAAAACTTACATTTGGGATCAGTAACTTGTTTTAAAACTAAAAATATTTTGTCCGCGAAAACCCACACGAACCTGTCAAGTCGACTTTCATAATGAAGAACGATAATTGAAAACCTCATAAAACAAATTATCGATTTAGTCATAATAAAATGCGTATACCATATGTATGCATTCAAGTAAAGGCAACGTCCCCTATGAATACTTCCTACATTTCTCCATCAGGAGCAGTTATAGATGCTAATTTCTTTTCACTACAAGCTAAACTCCCTGTCAGGCGATATTTTTTGAGTACAATTTACACAATAATCTTCATTAGTCAGATGAATTGAGGGGAATAATTATCCCGAAGCTTACCTTTTTCCACAGAAATACTGTGAAGTAATATACCACTTGGAGGCATACGTACACATGCACAGATATGGAATAAAACAAAATGGAAGCCTGTACGTGGGTCGGATTGCCATTATCTCATTGGTCGCTTGGACACACGCACATGCGCGATAGGCCGAAAAATTCGTCTGATGGATTCTGGTGGAATGTGCTTAACACGTGCCAGGAATATTATCTTCACGTGACAAGAAGATCGGCATGTCCTGAAAATGTATATTCTTGGCATGTGAGCAAATGAATATCTCTTATGTGAATATGATATGAGCATTTCCGTTCCGAATGTTCTTAAATTGTATATTCTTAGAACGTTCGTAAGGTGAATATGATTTTAATGAATGTAAACAGTATGTGCTGAGGACACGCTTTTCTGAGAGTATCCCTTTAGGATCTAAAACGTACATTCCAAGAATTAACAGGTATCCACACACGGATTTGTTATGTCCTAGGGCGGTAAAGTAACTTTAGCAGCCACTACGCTTCAGTCATCTATATGTTGTACCCACTATTACGCTCATGGCAACTGTCCTCTTTTTTTCTTTGCTAGTCAATGGCGCTACTGTCAGTTAGACAAAATAGTACTCCACGTCAAATTTTGACTTTAGTCGATTGTAGATGACATTTAGAATGTATCTGAACCATATTAAGCGTTTATGTTCCTTTGCGTGTTGATCCCACGCAGTGGATTACAAACACAATCTTTGCGCCGTGGATACATAAATAACTATAATGGTTTGCAGGTCTCCTTCGCCGTGTTGGCAACAATCGCCACCGCATCTGCCATCACAGTTGGTGTTCCACCCATGATGATGAACCCGATGATGATGATGAACCCCATGATGAACCAAATGATGAACCCGCACATCAACCCAATGATGGCAGGCAGCAACCCAATGTTAATGCGGTATGGTATGACCATGCCTCCAATGATCGGCGGAATGGGTGGTCAGATCGTCAACCCCATGGCTCTTAGTCCCATTGGACCATCTGGTGTGGTTACCTCCAATGGCGCTGTGGGACCATCTGGAATGGTGTCCGGCGGAGTTGTAGCTGGACCTAGTGGAGTTGTTACTGGACATGGCGCTGTTGGACCTACGGGACCTAATGGAATGCACTCCATGTGGCACTAAGGTTTGAAGTATCCAAATGTATTTATTGCCATGTTACTTGTTTATGGGAACCTGATGTAAATAAAAGACATATTTTTGAAAATTGCCTTACAAACTGGATGAACACCCCTTTCATAGTTTCGTTTTATAAATAGAATGTTGGTTAGAAGATAAACAACATGACCGAGTTCACAAAGTATCTTACCTGATTTGGAACAGAAAATGGCGTCAAGTGGATTTACTTTATACTCCCTATGCCTTCAAAACAGCTTCTAGTACTGTTTTCTATATAGTGCAATGGCGTAAAAAACGTAGGTGTTTTTAGAACCATTAATGCACTATTTAGACTTTTCATGGAAAAAATATCTTCACTGTAGAATGAGCGTATCCGTACATGGTAGAATCGTTTCTTTGGAGCTGTGGTGTAATAATGTTTGCCGACAATGTTAGAAAACTGATTATAATAGCTCATATACTATACTATATAAAGTCGAGGATAATGTGAACTTTTTTTGTTTGACAATTTTTGCTAAATCTCTAAAAATTAAGTGCTAGAGGGTATTCAAAGGTTTCCGTAAAAAACACCCTATATCTTCGTAACTTGGGCTAGTTGAAAATAGCTATTCTTGGGCTACAAATGTTATAATATTTGAAGTTTTGTTAGTTTCTCACAGAGCTTTTTACGACATTCCGACAGAATTGGCTAATTTTCTTAAAAACATTCAATGTAGTGGTATGATTTTTTTATGAAAAAGCAGGTAAATGATGTCTAAACAAGTTCGAGTAAAACGCATTTCGATATCTTGTTCCAAAATTTAGGCTAAAGAAAATTTTATACGGAAATCCCTTAAATTGTCATCTTTTTGAACTAGTTCTTCTGGAATTCTTTTTTATTCATCAGAAGAAAATCGCCCTTGTTGAAAGTATTACAAAACATCGCTAAAAGGTAAGTAAGTAATGCTAATAACAAAAGGCATATTTTTTGTTTAAATGCTTATCCACTATGGGTATATACGAAAAAGACAATTAATAGAAGCAAGCCGTGGAATACAACAAAACAAATACCTAATAAAAACATAAATAATCCTCAAATTGTCAATAGTTTCGCGTTACTTTGAGCAATTTTTGTGCTTAGTTAATGCGTTTTACGATATGCAGTCTATTTTGAATGTCTTCAGAATGCCGCAGTAGCAAAAAGAATTGAAAGAACACAAGAATATATTAACCACGTACTGGAATATATTGAAGGAAATCCTCATGTTAGCACAAGGGCATTATGCCTTGAGTTGGCCATATCACGAACAATGGTTCAAAGTATTTTGAAGAACCAGGTAAGTTTCATCAAAATATAGGGATTTATTTGAATTTAACTTTTTTTAGTTACTTTTAGAATGCACCCACATCATGTCGTTTTGCAACAGGCCTTGAAAGAGGAAGACTTTATCGGAGGTTGGACTATTGTCATTGGATTTTTTTTATACTCCAACTACCATGAATGCCTAAGGCCTAAATACCCATGGTGTACCGTGGGGCTGTAGGGGGAACAGGGAAAGGGGGGAAGCCACACGTGTGCATGCAAAATGCACACATACTGGCCCCGCCTACGAGATCCGCCGGGTGGTACCTCTGCATTCGACAGCCAGAGACCAACTACGGACAATCAGAACATCCATAGCTAAGAGAAAAATTTCTCTTGGGACGGGATTCGACCCCTCCAGCGCACGGCGACTGATCAAGAGACCGACGAGTCTACTACTGGGGCCACCATTGCTGCCTAGGTGTTAGGCATTATACGCGAAAACAAAGAATTTTTATTTCAAATTCTTGGACCTATGAAGCAATATGCATCATTGTTTTGCAGAAAATCCGCATTCTTTGGATGCAGTTCAGCACCAAGGGTGTTGGAGTTCAAATGTGTGGTGTGGCATACTGCATATTTTTTCGAGCAATCCCTAAATGGCAATGTCTGTCTTGCCTTTTTAGACAATCAGTTACCGATCGTATTGGAAACACGGCAAAATTTGTTTTTGCAGTTGGATGGGTAAGACATCCATTTAATTTTTCTGAGAAAATTAGTCATATCTACAAGAATGTAGAAAAAAGCCCTCTAACGGCCATACCTATGTGAAACTAACAAAACTGCAAATATTATAACGTTTGTAGCCCAAGAATAGCTCTTTCCAACTATCCCAAGTTTATTGATATTGGCTCAGCCGTTCCGAAGATACAGCGTGTTTTTTACGAAAACTTTTGCATACCACCCACCATTTCATTTTTAGAGGTACAGCAAAAATTGTCAGACAGAAAAGGTTTTAAAGATCAGGTTTATGTTTGTTAGGTTAGTATAGCGGAATTCACAGAAACATTACTTTTTAGATTCAAGATTACAATTACGCCCCTCTAGCGGCCATTTCAGAAACTTGAAAATGTTTTCCAGGTTTTCCTCTTGGCCGTTTTAGTAATGTTTTTGTCGCAAACCTCTACGATGGATAGTCTCCCAGATACACTACCTCCCATTCTTATTCTTAGTTGACCACCCTGTACACTCATCGAATCACATGTTAAGCATAACGTTTGCATATCGGGTGGTCGTTTTAATTTCCTCCTGACTTTATTTGTAGTGGGTTTTTATAAACAAATTGCACATTAGACGGTATAATTACATGATCAAACGAACTTACCTGTAAGTGATGTTCGATCTTAATTATGTGAAGTCCTCGTCGAAGTAAATATTTAGAGTATATATCGTAGTACCCTCGTAGTATTACCCAACCGCCACGATTTCAAAGCGCGCACGCAGAGAAGGAGAGCGGCACCGCGCCCCTTCCCCCTACCTTTCTCTCTCTGGCCGACAATAAACCTTCATTTACTTCAAAGCCAAGTTGTTGCAACAATTGGGTGATACATAGTGAGCGAGGGAGCTATTTACTTCGACGGGGACTTCACATAATTAAGATCGAACATCACTTACAGGTAAGTTCGTTTGATCATGCAATTATGTTTCGTCCTCGTCGAAGAAAATATTTAGAATACACATCGAAGATGTTCAAAGCTAGTTGCAACAGCATAGTACTAACGCTCTGCAATAATAGTAAACGATAACTTGTACACAACTACACAAATTGTACGCAATGTATGTGTCAACTAAATGTACACTTCCATTGTAACAACTCAGGTTAGGGCTTTTAGCAACAGGTAATGTAACGTACCTGGTTCAAAAATTACCATCCATTTCATGATAATAAGCAAATAACGTAATAACATAGTAATATTTAAGGTGTGGAGACATGGTTCACCTCAAATGCCGCTTGAGCAAAGCTATTGTTTGGCATAAGAGATTTGTGACGTATCTCAGAAAACGCACTCAGGCCCGCAGCGATCCTGAAACTACTATAATTCAGCAGGCGGAGAGGTAGACGCATTTCATGTAGTGTGGGCTGTGATTTGTGACACTCTCTGCTAAAACTGACTTCATTCATCTGGGAGCAGATGCACCATGATAAAGTTACTTGTACAATGACAAATAAACACTTTGGCTGCACCTGGGACCTCGGTTGGCCGGCCGGGCCACGAGTTCGAATCTCGCCTTCGCCATGTTGTGTGTTTGTTTTAGGCAGCAGCGGTGGCCGCAGTAGTAGACTCTTCGGTCTCCTGATCAGTCGCCGTGCGCTGTGCGGGTTCGAGTCCGGTCCCAGGAGAAATTTTTCCCTTGGCTATGGATGTTGTGATTGTCCGTAGGTGGTAGATGGTCTCTGACTGTCGAACGCGGAGGTACCACCCGGCGGTTCTCGTAGGCGGAGCCAGAATGGGTGCATGTTGCATGCACACGTGTTCCCTCGCCAGAGTCCGTGTGGCGTCCCCCCTTTCCCATGTATCCCCCTATAGCCCCACGGTACCCATTGGGTGCTTAGGCCTTAGGCCTTCGTGGTAGTTGGAGTATAAAAAGAAACAGATAGTTGGGCGTAAAATACGGTAAAACGAAAAGTGGTTGCCACATGAGTGACCCCGAGACTTTCAAAAACTGAGAAATCCCAATTGTAATATTATTCAACCCAATCCGGATGTTGTCTGTTTCAATTAGTTTGCACACTCCGCTAGACCTAGCAGTGCTGCTCATTATACAACTAAAAATTGGATAATTCAATACCTCTGGCCGCATCTGCCAGTTTCTTTGAGCACCAGCCGAGGTACACCTTAAGTTAACGTATATTATGTTATTAGCATAGTAGCGAATTTTACAAGGCAAGACATTTCACTCGTTAGTGTATAGTCTGTTGTAACGAAATGAAAGACAAGGCTGACAGCAAGATCCCGATGTTCACCGCAAAGTTTTGGACTCTGTTTTGGTTGCTGTCCATTATTGCCCTTACTAGGTTTAGTAATGTCTGCATTGTTCGCTCAAGTAAAGTTACTTTTTTTCTGTCACAATTTAATACTGAGCCTGAGAGTGCTCAAGTTTTTCCTAAGGTATTCCAGAAATGGTTTTATTAACTTTGTGAAAACATGAGGGGCACAATTTACCCTAAACGGTGCATCATTGTATTGGAAGAGCTGTCCCTTGAATATGAATCTGAAATATACTCTATGACTATCCCTAACGGGTACCAAAATCTCTATATATTCCAAATCCAGATTCTTTAAGAAAGTATCTCTACGGAGAAGTCTGATCCCAGTTCAATAGCCTAGACTTAAGTGTTCTATCCCCTATAAATAGACAAAGTGTCTTGAGGTAAGGAATCAAACGTGTTGACCCATCAGACTTGGGGCAAGAAAAGTTGGATAGGTGCTGATTTTTAGGTAGCTTAATTTTCTTTATTGATAGCACGGCGGCTAAGCAATTGAGAGACTGTCGAATGTCGGTAGTTCATAGATGGACTAATGAGATTCAGCTATGGAAAAGTGCTGAACCAGTCGCCATCTGAATGGTAAGTGACCACTTGAGTCCAAGCTCTGCCATTGATGATGAATACGCGTCAATGTCCATGCTGATTTACCAACATCATCTGCAATAAGGGGTTGATGTTGTCTGGCCTTTTGGCATTCAGTTGCTGCTCAGTTTATCTGATTTATATTTAGAATTGACTTACTTGGTCAGATCTACACTGAAGAACAAGATATCAATGGAAGCCTCTGTCAGAGTACTCCTGAGTTGTTTGCTTTGATGTGAGTATCTGCCAGCATGCGATCATCTCCCTTCTTTGAACCTAGAGGATATAGTATTGCCACTTGCAGTTAATAAACAGCTCACATGTTGCTGTACACAGACCAAGCACACATCCCTGCGTGCGATAATTTCTATTATGGCTTCCGCCACTTTACCTGATTAACCTTAGGTGGCTAGAATAGAACAGAATTTATTCATCTATCGTCATCAACAAGGCCTGCCCACGAAATGTCAGTCTTGGAACAACGCGCGAACTAAGGTCGCCGCATCATCGTGGTGATGCGTCATTTATCGGCCATTAAGACAACACAATCGCTGCTGTTCGAGTGCCACCTATGCAAAATGTAACGTTAATCGGGCATAATGATATTTAACTTCCATTTTTACTGAAGATTAGAACTTTGGTGGTTTCCTAACTCGTCATGTTCATACGTACAGTCCTGTTCCATAGTTATCACCAGCCAGGTGGAATTTGCTATCACAAGCAAAATGTAACGCTAGTCTCACCTAGATAAAACCTAATCTCTATCTTTTATTAACGAAAAATGGTACTTTAGTGGTTTCCTAAACAGTCATATGCACTCTGCCAAAGATGTTCCAAGGTTATCACAAACCAGATGAAATTTGATATCACAGGCAAAATGTAACGATAACCTCGCATAAGGTGCCTATTCTTTATCTGGTGATAAGAAGAAGATATACATTGGAGCTTTCTGACATGTTCATAATTACACACCTGTTCCACGGTTATTACAAACCACGTGGAATTTGCTATCACAAACAAAATGTAACGCTAGTCTCGCATAGATGTACCTGTCGTTCATTAATGAAAAATGGTACTTCGGCTTCTTCCTAACTTCTCATGTGCATCTTTACAATATTGTTCCATAGTTATCACAAACCAGATATAATTCTCTCACATAGATGTACCCAATTTTTATCTTTTATAAATGAAAAATGCTATATTGCTACATTGTTATCACAAACCAGATGGAATTTGCTATTCCAAGCAAAATGTACCGCTAGTCTCACATAGATGTACCCAATTTTTATCTGCTATAAATGAAAAATGCTATATTGCTACATCGCTATCACAAACCAGACGGAATTTTCTATCTCAAACAAAATGTAATGCTAGTCTCGTATACATGAACCTAATCCCTATTTGTTATTAATGAAGAATGGTACTTCGTCGGTTTCTTAAACTGTCTTGTGCAATCTTATTATGCTCTTCCAAGATTATCACAAAGCAGATGGAATTTGCCGTCACAAGCAAAATGCAACGCTAACCTCGCATAAGATACCTAATCTCTATCTGGTAATAAGGAAAAATATATCTAACCGACTTCCTAACCTGCCATGTTCAAAGTTACAGTTCTGTTCTATGGTTATCACAAACCAGATGAAATTTGCTTTCACAACCAATTGAGAAGAGATTCTTTACCATACCTTGTTTCTACGTTGTCCCAAACGCTTTCAGTGTTGTTATTTGTGCAACGGAGTTCAGTACTGAGTCATTATCCCAAATACCTTCATTCATCCTTGGTGTGGACTATCACAAGTCCATGTTACTATCCCAAGCAACCTAATCCAATGTCACAACATTATCCCAAATGTCTTCGTTCATCCTTGGTATGGAGCTGACTATCCCAAGCCAGGTTCACGTTGCTATCCCAAGCAACTGAGTCTAATGCTTCCACGTTATCCCAAACGTCTTCGTTCGTCCCTGGTGTGGAGCTGACTATCCCAAGCCAAGTCCACTTTGCTACCCCAGGCAACCGAGTGTAATATTTCAGCGTTATCCCAAACGTCTTTGTTCTTCCTTGGTATGGAGCTGGCTATTACAAGCTAGGTCCACGTTGCTGTCCCAAGCAACCGAGTTCAATATTTCAGCGTTATCCCAAACGTCTTTGTTCGTCCTAGGTATGGAGTTGGCTATCACAAGCTAGGTCCAGGTTGCTATCTCAAGCAACAGTATCAGAACGTTATCCTAAACGTCATGTTAGGCACAGTTTGCAGCGCGGGTGAGGCATCCACACTAAGATTCATTTATCTTGCACCCAAAACAGATCGGTTAGTCGACAGTTACCTGTTGGTGATGCCCCTTTAGAAAAAGGGACCTGCACGCCACTTTCTAATTTTGCTCCGCGATGAAAGGAACCTTCAGCCGACCGACGGTCGGTATCTCGTTCGACAATGCACATCTAACGGCCAACCTTCTGCCCTGTTTTCTACTTCTAAATGTTCAGCGATTCCTCGACACTGCTGAAAACGTAAAAATGCGCGACGGTCGGTGTTAACAGTTTGGTACGAGAACAAGGAATGAAGGTTTATAGGCGGAAAGAGGGAAGAAAGGTAGGGGGAAGGGACGCGGTGCCGCTTTCCTTCTCTGGGTGCGCGCTTTGAAATCGTGGCGGTTGGGTACTACTACGAGGGTACTACGATATATATTCTAAATATTTACTTCGACGAGGACGGAACATAATCAGAATTTCAATTTGACGTTTTGTCTATTGCGCTCCACTATTTTTCACTCCCTACAACCTCCACCAGCCAATTTTTTACAGCAAAAAAATTGAAAGATCATGAGGATCCTCTGAAGCTTCACAAAAAACGAAGTTTGAGTCATTTTTATTTATTTTTTTCATTTGTGGCATTTTTCTCCACTGCCACTCAACTGATTTCTGAAAACTATCCGTATTTTAGTGAAGAAAATTTTATCCAAATCCGAACAGTCTTTTCCATGTTATAGACGGGCTATAAATGGCGGATACAGACAGACTGACAGACAGACAACCCGACGGAATGAGTGACATGGTTTTTCATGATATTCATGTCACATAATATCCAAAAAACGTTGGTAACTTTTTGCGACTACTATATTTTCCCGCCCAATGGCGTAGGAAGGAAACAACAAATTGTCACTAAAAGTCAGAGTTTGAGATTGAATCTTTGTTTTTTACTCAACCCAGTGTACTCGAACATCTGGATATAAGGCGATCTTGGAAGCATTGAACTCAAACTCATATACTCGCATATATGCGCCTCTTGTCATTGATAAGCTTGAATACTTTTATCAAAGCTAGTCTTCTTTTCCTGAAATCATTTGCAAAAGTATTTCTAGCACTTCTTGCTTTCAGGGGTCCTGAGGCAGTGTTTGAAAGTCAACTAATGGATTGTAAACTAAAGCCGTCTTTATTCTAGAAGGTACATCAGTTCATTCATACAACACACAATTTAATCTAACCATGTAGACCCCAGAGTCCAGCATGTCCCAAGCCAAGTCCCAATCCTAATGGAGCGATGATGCCATGTCCGTTAGGCCCAGTTGGTCCTACTGCTCCGTGTCCAGTCACAATCCCCGAAGGTCCTGAAGCTCCGGCACCGGTCACTACTCCAGAAGGTCCTGCAGCACCTGCTCCAGTAACCACTCCAGATGGTCCAACTGGACTCAGGGCATATGGGCTGATGAGGCCAAGACCGAGTCCAAGGTGGGAGGCAGATGCGGTGGCTACGGTGGCCAAGACGGCGAACAGGACCTGCAAGGGACATACTAGTCGTTATGAAGAAACTCGGAAAAATTAATTCAGTTTTCTGTTTGCGATATAACGAGAAACGTGATGCCTTGGAAATTATTAATTCAGATATTGAGGGATCAGTTGTATTCTTGAATTACCAGAAAAGAACATATTACAAAAATCGTACGCATTCACAACTCCAAGATATAATAATATTATAATTTACTTCCACGAAAAATAAAGAAGAACCATAATATAAATAGATTCAAAACTGACGTAAAGAAATGAATATTGTAAAAAAACGTCATCCTTTCATAATGCCATTGATATCAAGAATAGCTACCTAAAATAATGGGACAACAAAATACATAACTATGACAGATTTCATCCTCGATTGAGACAGTAACAGATGATATGAAATAGAAAAGATGCGTCCTAAGTGTTCTGACCAGCTCATAATCCAAATCAATCACTGTATCGTTCCTTCAAATGTACTTTTTTCTTTGTGTACGTGTATCGTATCACTGATAATAATAATTAAAACTCAGATTTTTCTTATACAGCATACCTATTTTGTCTATTCATATTTTATTAATTTCAGTTAATGTACAATAGTATCTTTCATTCCTTAGTAGTTAGTCAGTAATTACCACCCACGCACAGAAATGTGTGGTCCTTTCTGTGGATACTTTGTGTATTCGAGTATTTTATGTTACATGCTCATGCAGTTGTAATAATAGATAGAATTGAGCGTGTAAAGAACACCTGCTTAAGACTCATTTTACAGTCTACGCAAGTATCAAATGGTTTCGCATAGGTTGCTTGATGCAAACTGCTTGAATATGCGATGCGGACGTGAACTGCTTGCATGAAATATTTTTCAAAAGCATTTGTCTTTTAAGCAACCACCATAGGGTAACTTTTCGCACCGATATTCATGATTTAAATTGGCGGTTTCAGGGCTACATATCACCTCCTCATCATCAAACCTCTTCTTTTTGTAGATGGTACTCATACAACATTTATCGGTTTTCTAATCAAATTCCCAAAATTCTGCATCCAAACTAGTTTAAGATCAAATATAAAATTTATTTTTGAAATACACTTCACTGTGCACTAATGTAAAAGAGCGACTAAGCTAATGAAAGTATATTTTTTGTACTATCACTCACATTTTTTTGGAGCTTTCTAAGGTAGACCCTTTTTTGATAAATGTTTAATAGCTAAAGGGTTGAACTTAGACCATTCATAAATGCTTTCAGCCAAGGGGCTGACATAAGGATGTAACATATTAGAATATCGTTTATGAAGGGATGAATAATGACTGGACCCAATGGTATAGCACAAGTATTTTAAAGTGTGACACATTCATTTTTATCAAACGAAAACGTCTTCCTGTAATTTGTTAATTATTTGGTTATAATTCCTTAAACGTTCTCGGGTAGGCGAGCACAATAATCGCATGGAACTTCCTATAGAATATTACCTCAGGATTGGTGACCCAGAAGCTACACTCAGGTAATTTTCAACTCGCGGCACATAAGCCATCAGTCATCGCGCGCACCACCGTTTATAGCGTCAAGCGGTGGTAAGTCGACACATACTCCGCACATGTACAGAAAAGCAATTCTACGGGCCCTATACTGTAATATCAAACTTGTGTTACGTGAATGCACATAACATCCCATGACCCTTTCGCACCGATGGGCCATCGATGATATAATAATAATAAAGCCCGGTGCCTTGGTAATTAAAAACAGACCGACTAGCCTTAAGGAACTGTTGTTTGTTGCATATAACACTTTGCCTGATAAAGATTTTACATAGTCAGACGACATTACTGAAATAATAACTTGTTCCCTATTAATGGGAATATAATACATAGTATACCGTAACGTAGTTCCATATTCATCTCTAAAACAATAACTTTTTGAAAAAAGATACTATTTCGTTGAAAAATGGCTTGTTTTGTTGAAAAAAGATACTATTTCGTTGAAAAATGGCTTGTTTTGTTGATATTGACAGCAGTATGCATTTTTAACTCAAGTTTCAAACTAGTTACTTATTATGCAGAATGTAAAAAAAGCACAGACCCGTTGAAGGTGATTATGGACACTCCATATATTCACATACAATAGCATTTACAAAAATCACTATAAGTCACTTACATCTGATCAAATTATATCTTTGAGCAGAATTTGGTGAAACAAAAAATGTATATAAGCCCGTATTTTTCCCGAAAGTCAACGCTGATATCACTCTACTCACCAAGGAGTTCATGTTGTATAAGGATGCTGTTCAAATCACAGGACTAAACTGATACTCTGTACTATTTAGGTCCCTGATATATATACTGAAGAATCGGGGCGTTGCTATGGCCTTCGTCACCAAGAAGAATTATTGCAACCCACAAAGAATGCGATTTTTCTTTCATCAGATAGGTTCATGTAAGTATTCTAAGTATTGCAACATACAAAACGAAGATTTTTCTTGTCCACGTTGTGCTTAGAAACCCTCCAGTTGCCATTTGGGTTGAGTGTGAAAGGTGGGTGCCAGTGTTGTGTTTACGAACGTTTGGAAACTGTGCTAAAATCCGAAATACGCCATAAATTGCTTATAACAGGATAATAAGATCAGGGAACAGCATGTATAGTGTGTCTCAACCAAAATGGAAAGTAGTTTTATGAGCAAGCTGGAAGAGATATCAAAAATCTGTTTCGGTGGTAACCTTGATATGCTACTAGTGCATATTTCAAAATATGCAGGGTGTTTCATTTCTTCGTGACATAGCAAACATGTTTTTTTTAAACAAAGTACCTTATATTTTATTGCATATTTTGATAGAGCTTTTAACACAAGAAGCTTGATATTATATAACATATGGTTTCGATTGACAATTATTTAGATATCCAGTGAGATATCTGACAAAATGCCCATCATTAACGGCTCTCACCTGAGCGATCTTTGAAGATATTCAGATAAATTTTAGTTCACAAATGATCAATGATTTTAAGCTGATCTGAAAAGATGCTGAAATATCATTTTATTTATACAGCGTATCTCAAAACGCAAAATGTACCTTCTGTCATAAATGTCTAATGGAACATCCCGCATATTTCTGCATCATTGAATAGCTTTCCCTGCGAACCTTTTCTTGATATAAGGCTTATACCACCTTTTTCGAACAGTTTTCGAGTTATTGCTATTCATTCCAAGAAAAAATATATATTCTACATTTAGACTTAAATCAAAGAATGGAATTTTTTCTCGCACGACAAAGCTAATCTTAACCCAAGACATTAAGAAATGTTGTAATATTCTCCAAGTAGTTCTGCCGATTCCCACACGTTTGATTTGAGATCTAGTGTTTTTTCACAACCACGTTGTTTCAGCAACTTTGCTAACACGATTCCCTACTGAGTTTAACTCGAAAGCTCATATACCACTGATGTTTAATAAAACCTATCGAATCTCAGAACGGCAATAACAGATGGATACCTCATTTTTGCTTATAGTGGAGTTCAAAATTTTGGTACATTCTTTCATGCGATTCACAGCTCAGGGTCTTTTAATTCAGTGTGGTCAGCCTATGCTGAAACGCTGAAACCCCTTTCTCCATCTAACTATTAAAAAAAACAACCTAAGCTTGGTTTTGTATCGATCAAGGTTTTCAATATTTTGTAAACATAATATAAACCTTTTTGTTGAAAATTCTTTACACCCTGTATAATATTGCTCCTATTCCGCTTTATTAGGAGTAGGCTTGTGCTAACATTTGAATTTCATGAAAAAAAAAGTTACTGCATAGTGTATGTAGATTCGTTTGAAGCAGAGAAATAACAATTATTGTTTGATTAATAATTATTTACTCGAAAGAGGAATCAATTAATATCTAAGTGTGAATAATATAATACACATGTTTATGCTGCTTTTGGTGCTAGGGTCAAATTAGTTAACCGGTTTGCAAAGCAGTAACGCTTTCAAAATATGTTGTGTTTTTTCTCGGAAATGAAAATGTTATACCTAAAATATCAGTATCAGATGTCTAAAACAGGCAAAGATGCATATGTTAATACATTATACCATAACTATCTAAAACTGTAATGACTCACGTGAACATCACTTAACCACCGGTAGTTGGGCTGTCAGTGGCGGGGTATGAATTTTTAATGTGGGTGAACTTGATTTTTTTTAAATGTTTAATAAAAAAGGAAATGGTTTGAAAGGCGCTATAGATCAGAAATTTTTAGATTACCTTCTTCAGTTTTTTTCTGATTATCCATGATCTAGTTGAGTCTACCTCTCTTCATTCATCGGTGCTTCCACTTCCGTCTGAAAGTAATAACCTGTCGTTATCGCCTTCTTCGCCAAGATTGTCTATAACTGGCTCCATCATGGTGTCGACATTGCGGTCAAGCTGCCAGATTCTTGTTTCTTTCTTCACAACATGACGGACACGCTTCAGGCGTTACTAGCTGTATGGAATTCTCTAGCAAAGCCTTGACGTCTGGTAATTTAAGAGTTGTGTTATGGCGCGCAATATGATCCGTCACTTGAGGCCAGCTGAGCTTTGTTGAGTTCAGTTCACAATGGTAGGGCGATAAATGCAGTATAGTGATAACACAATGACGGGCCATTTCATCAATCACGTAACTAATGTTCGCGGGTTTGTGATGATTGACTGTTTCGAACAGTTCTGCTTTCACACATTAATGGTCAAACGGCATGCCCTTTCCGCGCAATCAAAGCTGAATCTCACTTTTTCGAGACTCCATATCTGGTACACGTTCGGCTGGACGACTGTGGTAGGAAGCATTATTCGTGACAGAGTTGGGTTCAACTCGCTGAAGCACCCCTTGACACCAGCTGTCGAAGCAGCTGGCATTCATTTCGTCATGGCAATCAAATCCTTTTTTAGAGACGAAAGTCAAGTTCCATCCTTTTAAAAAGCCACTATCGCTGGCGTTATGATTTTCAAGGCCACAAAATCATCTTGAATTGCAAAAATTTGAAACATATAAAACATTAATTCAAATGAGATATTTCCTAAAAATGCAAACTTCTTACCTACTAGAATAAGCCCCCGGCAACCAGGATGCCGCGCGGCATCAGCTATTCGTTCATTGTTAACCAGCTGAATCTTAGTGCAAAATCCACATTGAGATAGCAAATAAAGCCGACAATAATTTTCTCGGGATAATAAGTATAACTTGGCGAATTTTCACGGGATTTCGTGTCTCATGGCGATCGGACACCCGAGCGTGGTGGAATGAATGCAAAAAGCTCAACCGCTTGAGCAAACCAAGCCATTTGACATCCGTTCTGAAACAGGCAAGCACCTAATAAGGCACCTAGAGGACGACTGAAAATGACTATTTTCTAACGAAAAGTGCTATTGTGGCTTGTTTATGAGAGATCGCTATATGCTTCCGCAGATTTTTTAGTTCTTTGGTCGACCCTTATTTTCTTAGTAGTAGCATTTATGTATGATCCACCATTTAGGCAGCGTACGCAGTTAAAGTAGCACGATCGTGATTTTTAAATCCTTTCTTTATTCGAACAGATCGCTATATGAAAGCTTTCTCCTTGAAACAAGTGCAAATTCATAAAACGTTTTACTCAAGATCATTATAACAAAATGAATGAGATCTTGTAATCATAATATAAAAATTAAAATTGTTATAAAGACATGGATCAAAACGGTAGGCTCATATTTTCTCAATTTTTGTTTATTAACATACTTGTATTCTAATATCTCAAAGTTTGTAAAGATGATTGTAGGACATATTGTTACCCAAATATGATGTGTGTTATCTAGAATGTGTAAATCGGACACTCAGAGTTTAGAATACCACCCTGTTCTAGCCTGACGGCTCTCGACAGCCGTTGCGACGGCCCGGTGGCGGTCATGCTCTGATCACGCGTATGAGTCGTTACAGTTTTATATAGTTACAGTATAGGTTTTACCATTAATCAATGCTATTATTGAATGATGAAGTCAGCATCACCATATCTACAAAAACACAATTATTTTAAATTAACGCATAAAGAACATTAAAAGTTATAAACTGATTTTTAAGGCAGTCTGTGGGCTGCAATGCACACTTGTGGTTCTCTTTTCCGGAATTGGACAGCCATCGGTGAATTAATCAATTGTAAAGATTTTTTTGCACCGAAGCAGACGCCCAGGCTGACCCCTGAACGCCTGCTATGAGGATCCCAAAAACACGATTTTTGACCTGCCTAGGGATAGTAGAACTGTAAGGAGACTCCTATTTTAGATTGTTCCACAATCTCGGCACTTTAAGGACAAAGGAGCGGTCGTAGCGGTCAGTTCTGAGTGTACAAAGCTCTGCACGGTTAGGAGCTAGATTGCTGACGGGGCGCCGGTGCGAAAAAGTCCTGACTGTCTGTGAGAGAAGAGTCATCGATCAGTTGGACAGCCCTCTTCTGAACAGCATCGAGCCGGGATAACTTTGTCGGGGTGGCAGTACTACAAACATGTGAGCAATACTCGAGGCTAGGTCTTATCTGGGCCTAGACTATAGTTTGGAGGTCATGTGAAGAAAAGTACTACTTAGCCCTAAACAAAGCTTTTTCTCGGCACCTGCCGCTATTGACGAGATGTGTTCGTGCATGGCTCCAAAGTATAAGATTTATATTTCAATATCTTACGTATCGTAGGTTGTTTACGCCGGAGGACAACAGACGAAACCCTGAAATTCTAATTATGCTATCTTGTAGAGGGGAAAATCCGGTAAATCCGGTAGGCGAAACAAATGACTATCTGATATAATTTCAACGCCTTCATAAGAAATTCTGACTAAGGTTTGGCAATATCAATTACGTATTACGCATTTTTGGATTCAAAATTAAAAACTCTATTCATCTGTGCAATATGGCGTCTATAAGAAAAAACAAAGTTGATGCTAGAGGATAAGAGATGAAATGTCATATTGAAATTCTAATTATGCAATATTGTAGAGGAGAAAAAGTGGCAATGTTGATGTGTAATTTATTCTAAAATTCCACTACAAATAAAGTCAGGAAAAAATTAAAACGATTTTAGGGAAATTCGATTTTTTCCGTCTTCCTCTGTAAGTACTTTGAATTCCGAAACTTTTCAAGTGGCATTTTGTTGATTACCTGAATACGCAACTTTGCCACTATCTAAGTGACTTCGTATGCCTTACAGCTTCCGAGATCGAATTTGAAACACCCTGTATTGGACCAATGCAGATTGAAAGAATTTTTCTTAGTAGGTGGACCTAGGTGCAACAAGAAAAACGCCGAGTTGCAGCAGTAACAGTTTTTCCACATGAGTGGTGATAAAACCGGTATGCATGTGTCGTGAACCGTGTGGAGTGTGGACTGTAGGCAGATTATGAGAAAGCGATATGCGTTCCAAGATATTTATAAACGGCTTGTACCTCTTTGAGGTTGTTCGTGGAAACAATTACGGCAACCAATGACAGATTTTTTGATTAATCGTTTATTGTTCATGCGCCTTATATTGGAGCCCCTTGCGGTGCGGCCCGACTATTGAAAAAGAGGAGTGAATTATATAGATGTACGAGTAATAATGCGCAATCAGATATAATAATTGGTAATGATCATAATGTTTACATTTATCATTGGGCTTGTCATTGGCTACTGTCGTAATGTTTCAAGAATTTCCGTAGCTATCGAGCTTCTGGCTGGGTTGCGACTGCTGTTTTAACGTGGGGTAGGAAGTATTGTAATCGCGAAACATGTCGAAAATGAGATTTTGCGTTTTTCAGATGAAGTATTACACCCAAAACCATGACACTCATTTCCGTCGATCTGTCGGTCTGTCTGTCAGTCGACTTGTCTGTCTGTTTGACGATCTGCCAACTGTCCGTCTGTCGGTGAGTCGGTCTGTCCGAGTCTGTCCGCTAATCTTTGGACCTATAACTTGGAAAGTATTTCTCGGATCGGGATGACATTTTTACACAAGTTTACTACTACTCCAAGGTCGACACCTTGTAGTTTTTGAAAATTGTTTTTTGAGGTTTCAGAGGATTCTGAATATTTGAAAACAAATATTTCTTGATTTGACAATCACCGGATTTTTGTATCTCAGGCAATGCAAACCTCAGCACAACGTGGATGTTACAGAGAAAAATATAATTTCACAACTTCGTTGAATCGACCTAGTTACGTTTGATCCAAGAGCACAATTTTCAGTACGTACTTAGGTGTCAAGGATGTAAATGGAGTCTATTGCCCTTCAGATTTGCTGCTGGAATGTGGGAATATATTTTATAAATGTCATTAAAGGTAGCAAACCTGAAATGGAAATATCACATTATTCTATGCTGTATTTTGCTGATAATTCCACCGCATGGATACGTCTGAAGATGCAATCGAAGTATTAGTGAAGTTTTTGTTCGGCTTATCGTAATATGAATACTGGCCAAATCAATCCCACTCATAGGATGAAAGAAAATTGTTAAGCAACATATTGTCACCTTGATTATTCTACATTGACTGATAGTTTCGTCACTCTATATAAGGCATCGGCTAAATTTTTTGCAATTCCATATATGTAAAGTGTTATTGCCCAACATGATCTTATATTGTTAATTTAGGTTCACTCACTTGTGAAAAAAGTAAACAAAAAAAAGTAGACAATATGAAATCTGCATATTGGCAACACCTCCAAATGAAAGTAAAATAATTATTCTACCGCCATATCTCAATACGGCTATCGGCATCAGTTAATTGCTATACAATCTGAAATCGTACTTTGACATTCAAAGGGAACCGTTGTGAGGAAATAATATGGCAGAATAGTTCGTCCTTGAGATGGAGAAATAAGACATCTGCGAATTTGAGCTCCATTAACAAATCATAAGAAAAAAACTGCAAGTAAAATACTAAAGTCCATCAATTAGATCTTTTTTCCACGGGTACTCAATCTGGTTGAATGGTAACTGGTAACTTTATTGTATTTTATCAAAATTAACATATTTTAAGTTGAATATTGAAATGTTTGATCATGTACAAAAAAGCCAATTGGCGATGACGGTTAGTAAAATAGATTGATTGCTTTTCTTTCGATTTTTAAACATTTTTATTGATTCAAATATCTTATTCCTATGAGTATATGTGCCTCAAAATTTCAAACGTTACCAACTTTATCTGATCAACGCTTTACAAAGTAGTGCTTAGAATTTGAGTAAGGATGGATTAGGGAACTCAAATCCCATCGGATTCAGTTTGTTCATTTCTTTGTATATCATCAAGTGCACCACCCTGTAACTAGAACTCTGAACTTATTTCGACACCTTGGTTCTACGTGTTAAAATCTACATCTTACTAAATTTTCCGAAATCGAAAAAATCAGGTTAAGATGCACGGTTTTTGAAGTGATATGGCCATATTTTCTGAGTCACCCTCCACACCAGCCTGACCAACTAACCTTAAAGCGACCATGCATCGTGTTCGTCATTTCCCGATCCCATATAGTCGACCACGGGCTGTGCAGTGTGCATAAACACGCATACCTGCAGATCTGAATGCATTCGCGATTTGCCCCAGTAAATAATGGTCAAGGTTGCCATTGGCTCGACTAGAGATGATCGATATATCGGTACCGGCGACCTTTCCCGGTGACTTGAATGGTCGCCGTTAGTCCCGGCGACCGGATTCTCCATGAAGCAGCGACCCAGATCGCTGTTTGGACGTATCGGTATCGGTAACCACTGATCGGTAGCTGTAGCGCTGTTTCGGTCGCGGTCGCTGCCAGGAAGCATATACACATCGTGTTCGCGATCATCGCGCGGGAAGTACAAGGTCGCTACAGCGTAGCCTAACCTATTTTGTTAGTTTTTATTGTTATTGTTGTGAGTTCCTGTTTCATAGAAAAATGTTTCGTTTATTAAGCAATGTTTAACATATAAAAGAAGCATTTTTATACTACATTTGTTATGTTTTAAAAGTTTTATTTTGACTGGTAAAATAGTATTTTGTTTTACTTTTTAAGATTCATAGAAAGATATTTTATGTATTTTTATGATTTTATGTGTTTTGTGCTCAATATTGTTAAAAACAAAAACCTTAAATATAGTTTAATTCAAATCTTCAGGAACCTGAACATCTACACCTCCTTAATATCAATGGATAACCGCCGCCAAATATCGAGTAATTTAATCAGCGCCAGGGAGTCGCTGGCTGCTGGCAGCGACCATAGATAAGCAGTGACCTAAAGCGCTGCTAAATCTACCGGCGACTTTAAGGTCGCTGTCACCGTTATCCCGGCGACTTGCAAGTCGCTGCTAAGATCATCTCTAGGCTCGACGGCTCTGCAGCAGATCATGAATTACGCGAGCTGCGGTTCTTGCATTTCAACGGTTCAATTCACGTATGGGAGGACGCTGGCATTGTGTTATAGCCTAGTCGACAGGGATCAAAAGAAACACATTAATGAAGTTGGCCGATTTATTTTATAATGTCTCTCAAACTAGAGAAAATTATACATTTCTGGGATCGTAATTATCATATACTTTTCTGACTGGAAATATGCCATTTTATTCTCCTTACGTTTAACCAGTTTTGAAGCTCATTCACCTCAAGTTTTCAAATAAAATCGTGCTACATCCATTTTAATTCCGAAGTCTACTGGCGAGGAAGTATCGTAATCACGAAAAATTTCGAAAATTACAGTTTTGTAACTCATTATAAAATGAGTGTCAATAGCTTACATAGTAAGGTTTCTTTCCTGCTATCGATGATTTGACCCACAGCACTGAGCATTAGACAATGGTACAAAAACTGGAAGGCTAACAGATGATTCAGAGTACCTAATTGTTGGCAGCAAAGAGAAATGGATATTGATTTAAATAGTTATTATTCTCATACATAACACCTTTTGAAAGCTGTTGCCACTGTTTCTTCATCGTTTCTTTTCCAGCATGCGACATTTAAGCAGAACTTCTTGTGAATCAAGCTACCGCCGTATCACCAATATCAATGATATGGGCCACCAGCTTACAGTGCCCCCATGTATGAAAAAGAAAATGCGTAAACAGTTTTTTGCAACCTCAAGCAAGTTTTTAGGACGTAAATCAAATTAAACATTGACGTTAGCTAAAACTTAGATTGTAGTGTACAGTTGGGTGATAGTAGCATGCTTCCTATTTTTAACCCTCTATATTACAATTGCAACAGCTGAAAGCTTTTCAAAATTAAAAGTTTTGACTACCTTCATAAGCTAAAAATTTCGAAACACGTAAATCGTCTTTCGCTACGGATGGTTTAATTAAAAAAAGATATAATGGCAAGTAGGTTGACTGGGTACTTGCAATCATTCGCCTATGCCTATTTACAAATTTTCCATGAGATAAGCCTTGCTAAAGAACCAAAATGTTTGAGCTTTATAATGTTTTTGAATATGCCCTAACTGAGGCTATCAGAAACGATGGAAGCAAATTCTTTGAAATTGTTATCTCTCCACAAAGATGTTTGACTAACCTTAAGAATATTCAGAAAGTTGTAAATCATACAACAAAAACTTTGGGACTTTGGGATAATTGAAAGCTATTTTAATTGTTACTCATAACACCGCAATTTAAAGGTTATACAAATTAAGAAGCATTACCTACTATGACCCCACATGGATGTTCAGTTACAGTACCTTTCTCCCCCCACCCCGAAAAACCCTACTACCCGTTGCTCCTACAACAGTTTTCAGGGTGGTAACACATTACAGAAAGTTATCTCTTACCTACGACCCGCTCACTGTTACGGAGTAAAACTTTCTGTGGGCGCCCATGGTCAATACGTCACAATTCGTATTATTCAATGCAACCGTTTGTTTTTCTTGTAAAAATCTATACTTCAAATTTTACCCTAAATTTGGGATTCGACACAGTAGGGTTGGGTCTCCCCACAAATTTCGATATGGGGTTTGAGGAACAACCTAAGTCACTGTCGTGAGTATTGATTTTTTGAAATTTTCTGTCTTCTGAAAAACCTTCGGTCTTCTTTGGCTTAAGTTCGAACCTGCTCCCGTAATTGTATTTTTGTCCGAATATGATCGATGCATATGCTTCGGTTGGACCCCACATATTCTTAGGTTCACTCAAAACTAATTAATTTATAACCAATGCAACTGATGACTATCCTATGAAGGCATGTGTAAGTTAACTGAGCATGGCTTGCTTTGTGCACTGTACACTTGTAACTCAATCTTTTACGAACCAACGCCCCCTTGAATTATGTACCAGCTAAAAAAGGAAACTGTAGTACCCAGGGAAATAAGAAACGCTTATGAATCACCTGATGTGGGAAAATTAGTAATAACTCTAGGTTAATGAGTCCGATTTGCGGTAGGTTGACAGTACACTGCCAACGCAAGACCCTCATCAGTTCATAAAGGATTATGTTCATCACTAGTTGGACACTATCCAAATAAGACAGCGGCATACACCTTATATCCAAAGAATAATAGCTGTGCTTTTGTTCGTTGTCCCAGAGACCAAGCCTAGGCCATTCTGATTAGTGCATTTAAGTTAGACCCTCAGAGAAAAAAGTTAGTTAAGATTATGTATAAACGGATCAAGTCCGTCAAACAGGTCCTTACAATTAGTCCATAACATTCTTTTACTGACTAAGAAAATAAATATGAATTTCGTGACACTTCTTTACTAATTTATTTAACTTTAATCACCAACCCTAGCGAACATGAGACCCAAAATAGAAGGCAATGCGTGATGTAAAAACGACCCTGCAGCTTGACATTGGGAGCATTTTTCCTCAAATTTGAGAGACTTTTATTTGGTGAATTTTTCGAGGATATAATGTTCTGAGGTAAATCATATGCTACGTTTCGCGGATAGAAAGAATCCCCCGCTCTCTGAACCAACCCTACCCATTTCCATTAGTTAACTGTTATTTGGTTTTTTTTTGAAAAAGTAGCAATTCTGCGGGATTTTTGTGCTTGATCCATCTGGAAATGCGGTGCCTTGACAGATCCGCCATATCCGCCGTATCTGTTTTCTTATAAACAGGCAGGCAATCCTATTCATCTTTCATAAAAATAAGTTTTATAAAAAAACATGCTCAGGTGCCCTGCGCATGCGCAATTAGGGTTGATTTTTCCTCATCTTGCCGGTTCTCCTGACATATAGGCTCCATCTTCCCGTCCTTTATACCATTTTCAGTGGAGGCATAAATGATTCAACAGCCATAACAAATGTTATTTACCTGTCACAGTCTAACTTAGGTGACATACTCGTACAGGCTACTTGACAACAGCTAGACTATATCTCAATATAGAGACTTCCGGAATATAATATGCGCAAAAAGGCTGGCTTATTTTTCAAACTTCTTTATCATCTAAGTGATAAATGTGAAAATTTGTTGAGTGGATGTCAATTAATGATGTGTGGAATTGCTCAAAACGGTATTTTTTAAGAAATTGTGTCTAGCAGCAGGGCAGCCAGAGTATACAGGGTTATCCAAATTAAGTGTCCACCATTAGTAACTTTGTTATTAGTGAAAATACAAAGTTGTTTGAATTAGCAAACTAGTAGCATTTTTATCGCTGGTAAAAATGAGAAATAAAAAAAACAATTGAGAGTCGTTATTTTGATTTTTTTCAGTAAAATAACATTTTTTTAAATGGAAACCCCTGTATATTATATTTTTTTCTGTTAAAGCATCAAATTTTAAACAAAAAAGCTTACAATAACTTTTCTCCTAGGTTACAAATTGTTGAAGTTATGGCCTCCAATCTGAAACAATTAAATTGTATCGACAAACTTTATTTTCAACATCAACTTATAATCTTACAAAATACAATAACAATTTTTTTTAAAGAAGATGCTCGAAAACACCACCTTGTTCTTCAATACATTTTTGGGCACGTTTTTCAACTGCTCGAACTGTCTTAAGTATGGTCCTACCATCTATCTGGGTTATCTTTTCCCTAACTGCAGTCTTTAACGCGTCAAGGTTATCGTACCTTCGCTTGTAAATTTGGTTCTTTAAGTAACCCCACAAGAAGTAATCAAGTGGGTTTAGATCTGGTGATCTGGGAGTCCACTGTATTGGGCCATTTGTTCCTATCCACTGATCATTAAAAGTAGTACTTAGAAAATGATAAGTACCTCTGGAGTTGTGGGCAGGTTCGCCATCTTGCTGAAAATGCAGATGATGTCTACTTATAAGATCCAATTCGTCTAAGAAATTAGTCAGAATTTCTGACATAAATTCCACATATCTTTCACCAGTTAGGGTTCCCTCATAAAAGAACGGGCCAACAATTTTTGAACCAATTATACCGCACCAAACGTTGAAACTGAAACGGACTTGTGGGCCTCTTGGATGTACTAACAAAAGATTTTCTCTTGACCAATAATGGTGTTTTTTTCTATTAAACATTCCAGAATTTGAAAAATTTGATTCATCTGTCCATAAAAGGAAACGAAAGTTATTTACATTTTGGCGACAGAAGCTAAGATACCAATGGCAAAAAACAAGTCTTCGCTCTGGATCCCCTGCCAAAAGCGTTTGAACTGGTCGGTACTTATACGGAATAAATTTGTATTTTT